AGGCTTGTTTCATTTCAGGATTTTCATTCTTTTAATTACTTAATTACATTCTGTTTGAAAGGCAGAGAGAAAGAAACAGACGGAGTTCACTTGTCTGCTGTTGTTCCTAAACGCTGACATTAGCCGGGGCCAGGCCAGGCCAACGCCAGGAGACTTGAACTCCATGGGTGGCAGGGACCCGAGCACTCGGGCCACCACTTGCCCCTCCCAGGGTGTGCGTGAGCAGGAAGCTGGAATTGGAGTGGATGGACTTACTCGGGCGCGGGATGCGGGTGTCCCAGGCAGTGACTTAACTGTGTACCAAGTTCATGTTTAAATGTTGCTCCTGAAGTCAGCCCTGTCGTAGTGTTTTACGTACTTCAGTCTTTTAAACCAGGATGTGTGGATTGATAATACAGTCAACAGACTTTGATTTTGAAAACAACTTATTCAAATGTTTCTGTGGCATAGATGAATGGCATGCTTTAAGCATAAAGGAAATGGTAGCCTTTTTGCATTTTCACTTGGGAGCGGTTCTCAGTGTTCTGGTTGACGTACGTGTGGCTCTGACGGTAGTGAGGAGGAGGAAGAGGGGTTGAGAGACCCCACAGGCTCCTAGCGCTCAGGAGGACCGGGAGGGGGATGAGGGCACAAAGCCCGTCTCCCCAGGGCCTGGGCTGGCTCCTTCGTGTGTTGGGGAAGGGTTTTGCTGTTTGTTTTGTCGCTTGTTTTTGGTGGTGACCAGTGCACTAAGAAGGTGGTGGTGACCAGCGCACTAGGAAGGTGGTGGTGACCAGCGCACTAAGAAGGTGGTGGTGACCAGCGCACTAGGAAGGTGGTGGTGACCAGCGCACTAGGAAGGTGGTGGTGACCAGCGCACTAGGAAGGTGGTGGTGCCCAGCGCACTAGGAAGGTGGTGGTGCCCAGCGCACTAGGAAGGTGGTGGTGCCCAGCGCACTAGGAAGGTGGTGGTGCCCAGCGCACTAGGAAGGTGGTGGTGCCCAGCGCACTAGGAAGGTGGTGGTGACCAGCGCACTAGGAAGGTGGTGGTGCCCAGCGCACTAGGAAGGTGGTGGTGCCCAGCGCACTAGGAAGGTGGTGGTGACCAGCGCACTAGGAAGGTGGTGGTGACCAGCGCACTAGGAAGGTGGTGGTGAATGGTATTTTCTAGTCAGTTTGAGTCTTTGTTTGGAAGCCAGAAATGTCGCATTCAAATCATGACTTTTTGCTGTCTAGTTTTCAAGACCTTCCCATTTTTTAAATAATTCTTCATGTTTTAAACTGTGATTACTTTAACTACAGGGGTCAGTTCTGTGGCATAGGTAAAGCCGCCACCTGCAGTACCCTATGGGCACTGGTTCGAGTCCCAGCTGCTCCTCTTCAGATCCAGGTCTCTGCTGTGGCCTGGGAAAGCAGGGAGGATGGCTCAACTGCTTGGGCCCCTGCACCCACGTGGGAGACCCGGAAGAAGCTCCTGGCTCCTGGCTTCAGATTGGCCCAGCTCAGGCTGTTGTGGTCATCTGGGGGGTGAACCAGCAGATGGAAGACCTCTCTCTGCCTCTCTGTAACTCTACCTTTCAAATAATTAAATAAATCTTTTTGAAAAAAAAAGAAGAAGAAGTAGAGCAGTCTGGACTCAAACCAGTGCCCAAATGGGGTGCAGCACCCAGCACGCCACAGCACCAGCCCCTATTTTTTAATTTTTAAAATTATTTTATATTTGAAGGGCAGAGAGGAAGAGAACTCCAATTCGCTGGTTCACAGCCATATCGGCCCAGACTGGGCAGGGCTGAGCCAGGGCTGGACCAGGGTCACACCAGGTCTGATGGGGGTTAACAGCCCGGTACCGGGACCACAGCCCAGGCCTCTCTGTGGCAGGAACCCAGTTACTTAAGCCACCACCTCTGTCTCCCACCTCTCTCTGCTGCGCTAGCAGGAAGCCGGAGTCAAGACCCAGAGCCAGGCCTCGGCTGTGGGACACGGACATCTCAGCTGATGGGCTGCGCCCACTCCAGTGGTGCCGCTTCACGTCCATTTGTCGATTCACGTTCACCGTGAGCAGTGCTTTTCCTGGGAGGACGCTCATGGTTTTGGGCTCCTGAGGTTCATCACGAGGAAAACGATCGTCATCCCTTGACTTTGGTCTGATCCAGTGTTCTCATTAGGACCCTTCTGCGCCCGCAGTCTGTGCCTCTGGTGGCTTGCCCGCGTGTGGCAAGCGTTACGGTGTGAAGCTGAGATCACTACCCAAGCCCTCAGGGAGCATGCCCTGAACGTCTCCCTGCCTGTGGCTTGTTTTTTTGGTTTCCATTATATGTATCTTTTTTCATATAAATGTAAAAGAGTCAAACTTTTCAAAAATTGCTTTAATTATTGAAAGGCAGAGTGACGGGGAGACAGAGAAATCTTCCATCCTCTGGTCCACTTGCCAGTTGGCCACAACATCTGGGGCTGGTCTGGGCTGAAGCCAGGAGCCTAGAACTCCATCCTATGTAGGTGGCAGGGGCCCCAGCACCTGGGCCATCCTCGGCTGCTTTCCCTGACCCACAAGCAGGAAGCTGCATCGGAAGTGGAGCAGCTGGGACTGGAACTGGCGCTGATCCGGGCTGCACAGTGGCATCTTGACCACTGTGCCACAGCATGGGGCCCCGCAGCACTTCATAGTTAGCCTGCCTTTCTCCACCGGCCTGTGCCACGGTGTGTTTTAGCCGTCCTGTAGCTGCGTGTGGGGCATCAGAGGGGCTGAGCGCTCACACCTCCTCACGGTGTGATGTCACGACGGGGACCACAGCACTCTGTGCAGAGGGCAGCCCGCGCGTGGCGAGGAAGGCGCTGGCGAGCCCGGCTGTGCGCCTCCTGCTGGTGCCTGTTGGCTGGGGAGGAGCGAGGGCCCCCAGGGGATGAGCTGTGGCGGGATTTGCTGGCGGCAGTCCGCCGTTCTGCTGACTTAGTCTTGTTTTTGTGTGTGAAATGCTGAACAGCTCATTTATCCCTTTAAATTAGTTACTATGAAGCCAGATTTCCAGGAGTGTAAAACCAACAGAGGAGACTGTCGTAAACCAGGGTGCGAGTCAGCCTCTGTCCTTTGGTAGTAAACAGCCCGAGTATCTCACGGTGGTGTGCACACTTAGAGTGTGCTGCTGCCCGTTCTCTGTGGCTCCCTGACAGTTTTCCCCCGGAATGACTTACCTGCTTTGGAGTCACCTAAACGCATCGCACTCCTTTTAGGCTGATGCTGGCTTTGGCACGCTCCCGTGTTTCCTTTAAAGGAGAGTTGTAACTGCCCTGAATAAGGTTTTCTTGGTAAAATAAACTTGAAGAGAACATAGTGATTAAAAGATTTTAAAAGAAAAATTTTATTGCAGTTTATCTGTATATCATCCAAGAAACTCCATCAAGGGTTCGATCTGTAATTCTCTCTGTAAACGTGGCTTTTACTTTGGTTTTGAGTGTAGCGTACTCTGGAGTCCACTAGAATGCCTGCAGTGTTAGAAGTAGTTAAATAATTAGGAAATCACAGAAGATAAAATACAGGGGCTGGCACTGTGGCACAGCGGGTTAACGTCCTGGCCTGAAGCGCCAGCATCCCTTATGGGCGCCGGTTCGAGACCCAGCTGCTCCATTTCTGATCCAGCTCTCTGCCGTGACCTGGGAAAGCAGTGGAAGATGGCCCAAGTCCTTGGGTCCCTGCACCTGTGTGGAAGACCGGGAAGAAGCTCCTGGCTCCTGGCTTCAGATCGGTGCAGCTCTGGCCATTGTGGCCATCCGGGGAGTGAACCAGCAGATGGAAGACCTCTCTCTCTCTCTTCCTCTCTCTCTCCCTCTCCCATTCCCTCTCCCTCTCTCCCTCCCTCTCCCCCCCCACCCCGTGTAACTGTGACTTTCAGATAAATAAAGAAATCTTTTTTAAATGGGAAAAAAAGAAGATAAAATGCAGATACCAAATAGTGCAATCTTGAAAAGGATCCCAAGAATGAAACGATGTCAATACTGTAGGGAAGGGGCCAGCGCTGTGGTGCAGCAGGTAAAGCCGCCGCCTGCAGCACCGGCATCCCGTATGGTTCAAGACCTGGCTGCTCCTCTTCCAATCCAGCTCCCTGCTGTGGCCTGGGAAGGCAGTGGAAGATGCCCAAGTGCTTGGACCCCTGCACCCATGTGGGAGACCCGGAGGAAGCTCCAGGCTCCTGGCTTTGGATCAGCACAGCTCTGGCCATCGCAGTTGTTTGGGGAGTGAACCAGCGGATGGAAGACCTCTTTCTTTCTACCTCTGCCTGTCTGTAACTCTGCCTTTCACATAAATGAATAAATATTAAGAAAAAAAAAACTATTGGAAGATAGTGTGTACAGTTATCCTTGGGCTCTCTAAAGAAAAGTCTGCAGTATGGGAAAGTAGAACACAAGTGTAGAAGACATCCTTAGTGAGCCAAGAAGACTCAGCTGGGGGGCTGAGAAAGTGTTTTGTTAACACCTGAGACGCGAACCCAGCCGGCAGGTGAGATCCGACGGAGCGGCGTGGGGAGCGTGAGCCCTGCTAGCCTGCAGCACCTCGGCAGCGCGGGGCAGGCCGCGCTGGGACTGCGTCTCCCCCGGGCCTGCCTGCACCCGGAAACCCCGCTCTGTGTAAGCTCTGGGGCGGGCTCCGTGCTGGCCCTGCAGCGCTGTGCTCAGGGGTAGTGGGGGAACCCGCGGTGCACTCAGAAGTCCCGTGAGCCCCGTGCCATCGCCCACGTTTCCCAGAGCGTGTGTTGTGGGAGCTGCTGCTGTTGGGTTAAGCGGCTTCCTCTACGTAAGTGTGTCGCGATCTCCTCTGGAGGGCTGAGACATGCGTAGTGGTAAGGATTAATATAATTTAGAAACATCGACTCTTGAAACCAAGAGCCATTAAGAAGACAAGTAGCTTTTTCCTTTGCCGCCATTCCAGAAAGAAACTTGAAATAAAGAGCTTCCCCAGAGACCAGGTAGCAGCTGATGCACTGACAGACGGGGGAATCTAATCCTCAATTTTGTTTCCTCTCTTCTAGACCTCGGTCACAGTGGACTGGCGGATCACTATGAGAGCTCCCGCTGCGGACAGCAGCCCACTTACCGGAGCGAAGCCGGCTGCAGCTGGGATAAAGTGAGCCTGGACAGGCCCGACAAGGAGGCGTGGGAGCCGGAGTCTGCGTCAGAATGCCCTGCGGACGCTGACCCTGCCTGCAGCTGCGCCCCAGAGAACAGTAGCATGGCCACAGGCAGCGCCCCGGGCAGCTTCCCTGCACACACCAAGAAGACGAACGGCAGTAACGGCACCAGTGGCACGCTCGGGCAAAGCCCTTCTAGCCAGAGTGCCCTGGGAGCAGGGGGAGCCAACGGCGATGGCGGCGCGGCCAGAGTGTGGGGCGTAGCCACGGGCTCCAGCTCTGGCCTCGCTCACTGCTCTGTCGGTGGTGGGGATGGGAAGATGGACAGTATGATTGGAGATGGGAGAAGCCAGAATTGCTGGAGTGCTGCCAGCGCCAGCGCTGGCATCAGTCTCAACCTTAATCCTAACGCCAACCCCGCTGCCTGGCCCGTGCTCGGACACGAAGGAACTGTGGCCACAGGCAGCCCTTCCAGTGTTTGCAGCCCAGTCAGTGCCATAGGTCAAACCCTGGGCAGCCAGAACGGGAACCCACCAGGCACTTTAGGTGCTTGGGGAAACTTGCTGCCGCAAGAGAGCACAGAGCCACAGCCGCCCACGTCTCAGAACGTGTCCTTGAGCGCACAACCTCAGAACCTTAACACTGATGGACCAAATAACACTAACCCCACGAACTCCTCACCAAGCCCTGTCAATGCAATGCAGACGAACGGACTGCCAAACTGGGGTGTGGCTGTTGGCCTGGGGGCCATCATCCCGCCCCCCCTGCAAGGCCTTCCTGGTGCTAATGGGGCCTCAGTCTCTCAAGTCGGCGGAGGTGGAGGTGAGGGAGTGAGCAGTGCTGTGTGGGGGCTGTCCCCAGGAAACCCTGCCACAGGGAGTAGCAGCTCTGGGTTCAGTCAGGGCAATGGAGACACTGTGAACTCGGCGCTAAGCGCTAAGCAAAACGGATCCAGCAGTGCTGTGCAGAAGGAAGGAAGTGGGGGGAACGCCTGGGATTCGGGACCCCCCGCTGGTCCTGGACTGCTTGCCTGGGGAAGGGGCAGTGGCAACAGTGGCGTTGGCAATATCCATTCAGGAGCTTGGGGCCACCCCAGTCGAAACGCCTCGAATGGCGTGAGTGGGGAGTGGGGAAAGACCCCAACCCAGCACGCCGGCAGTGACGTCAGTGGGAAGGGCTCCGCGGGGTGGGAGAGCCCCATGCAGCCTGGCGGTGAACACGTGAGCTCTTGGGCCAAAGCCGCGTCTTCAGGAACCACGGCAAGTGACGGCAGCAGCGAGGGTTCCGGCGGTCACAGCGAGGGAGGCCCCGGGAGGGAAGGAGCGGAGGGCCGCAGGCGAGACAAGGCGGTCCTGGACCAGGGCCACGTCCAGCTGCCACGGAGCGACCTTGACCCGAGAGTTCTGTCCAACACTGGCTGGGGACAGACTCCGGTGAAGCAGAACACTGCCTGGGAGTTTGCCGAGTCCCCCAGGTGTGAGAGAAAGAGCGACACTGGCACAGAGGCCTGGGGCTGCGCGGCGGCTCGGCCCCCAGACACGGGGGGCAAGAGCGAGGGGCCCAGCGCGGACAGCACGAGTACCTCTGCAGTGTCGGGCTGGGTCAGCTCCCCGCCTGCTGCTGTGCCGGCAACCACGGGCTGGGCGGAGAGCGGCAGCAAGGCGCCGAGCGCCCCGGGGGTCTGGGCAGACGCCGCAGGCTCTGCTGCTGTCAGTAGTGCTGCTGCCGCCAAGAGCGGCCACGCTTGGAGTGGGACCGTGAGTCAGGAGGACAAGTCGCCCACCTGGGCTGAGCCTCCCAAACCCAAATCCCAAAGCTGGGGAGACGGGCAGAGACCGAGTCCAGCCTGGAGCGCAGGGGCGGGAGACTGGGCAGACTCCGCCTCCGCCCTCGGACACGTGGCAGAGGGCAAGAAAAGTGGGTCTGGATGGGATGCTGACAGTAGCAGAGCCGGGGCCGGTTGGGGCGACACCGCGAGGCCCGGGGCCGGTGGCTGGGGCGGTGGCACAAACGCGAAGGGGACTCCCGGCACGAGCTGGGGAGAGTGTCTCAAACCTCCCCAGCAGAGCTGGGCCACCAAACCCCAGGACAGCGGCGTGAGCGGCTGGGGAGGGGCTGCTTCTGCGAAACAGACGGTGACGGGGTGGACGAGGCCGAAGGACAGCAGCGAGGCGACCGGCTGGGAGGAGCCCTCGCCACCGTCCATTCGACGCAAGATGGAAATCGATGATGGCACCTCCGCTTGGGGGGACCCGAGCAGCTACAACAACAGAACTGTCAGCATGTGGGACAGGAACAACCCGGCCGTCCAGAGCAGCGCCACGGCCGCGGCCGGCAGCACCGCCGCGGCCACCACGAGCAGCGCCACGCACAGGGGTGACACGCCACCGCCGCACCAGGCCAGCTCGCAGCTGAACCGATCGCCGCTGCTGGGGCCAGGTACGGAAGGTGGTTTGTGCTGCTTTGCAGCAGAGCGGGAGTCCCGTCCGGTGCTCAGGTGCCCTAAATGTTTTTATGGCAGACAGCGTTAAAGTCCTCTGGGTGCCCTTTGCCCTGAGGATGCGGCAAGGTCACATAGCCTCTGTCCCCGCTCCGCTCTCGGAGGGGACGTTTTCCAACCTGTCGGTCCCGTCTGTGGTTCAGGCCAGGCGATCAGAGCTGATCTGGAATGGCGCTGGTGAGGGGATGTGCAGACGTTTTTAAACTGGGAAACAGTTCCCCCCGACCCGTCCCCTTGTCCACTTCCTCCGCTCTGGATTGTTTAGTGTTCACAGAAACAATTTTGAATTGTTCTCGGTGATACTTCACAGACATCATTTTAGAGGTCAGGTAATGTTCAGTGGCACGCGTGTCCCGTGCCCTTGCGCAGTAACTGAGAAGGAAACCAGCTGATGATGGTGCCCGTCCCATCTGGCGTTCGCCTGCCCCTGTCCCATGCAGAGTCCCAGATCTACCCCGTGCCACACACCCGGCTCCGGGTGGCGGTGCCCCCACCTCTCCCCGCCCTCTCGCTAGCGATCATGAAACACGTGAAGAAATACATCCTCTTTAGGAACGTTTGGGGACCCTTTGTTAGTTTGGGTTCATTTACACACTCCATCGTTTCCTCAGGTAAGCCAGCGGCCCTCAGCAGAATGTGTGTGCAGTGGGAGGGGGCGGAGTGTCAGTCCTCGCAGTTCTAAGTTCACTGAGCAGGAGTGAGGGCCCCGAGCTGCAGGCGTAAAGTTCCACAGGCGTTTCTGATGTGTGGTTGACTGGAATAAAATAATCTCTGTGAAATGTGAATGGCATTATGCAAGTCCTGCTTTGATTTCCATCAAAAGAAAAATCCTAAGACAGATAATCATGGTTTGAGTTCTCTGGTGGAAAGAAGACGATGAGGCCATTCACACCAGAGCCTGCCTGTGGGGAGCTTGAACTGTCACAGGGAAGGGACAGCACTGACCAAGAGAGATCAGACAGAATCGAGTGGAGAACAGTAGCCTGTGTTTCTAAGCCGGGGGGTCTCCAGGCGCCAGGCACAGAGCTCCCGAGGAATGCCGGGGACCAGAATATGATCTAGCTACAGGCAGAGCTGCATTCTAGAACCTTCTCCCACGCACCTGCCAGGGGACACCCGTTTTTCCTCCTGTACCACAGAGCCTCAGACAGTTTGAATGCAGTCCCATCCGCCCACCCCTAGGGAGGGGTCCTAGCTCCATGTAGCCGTTCTTCATGGTCACAGCGTCCGGTCCTTAGTGTTGCCGTCGGTAAAAGCTGTGGCCTGGAGGGCCCTCACTGTGAGTGCCGCGTCACCGTCGCCGGCACGGTCAGCTGAGACTGCCCCCTTGCCCTGCAGTCGCACTCACAGCAGCAGACTCGGAGTTCTCTCTAGCCTTTTTGAGCCACGTCACCTGTTTTTGTTTTTGTTTGTTTTTTCCCCAAATTGAGCCTAAAGTGTGGAGTCTTCCTGCTCTACACGGCCATCGTCCCTGTCTCCGCGCTGCTCTCGCGAAGTTTGTGTTGCGTGGTCCCACTGTGGCACCGTGTCCCTGGCAGCTTCTCGGAGGCCTCTGGCATGCTGAGATCTGCTTGAACCCTGATTTTGCAGTGAGCGTCTACTTACTCCTTTCGTCTTTGTGCCATCCCTAAATTTTATGAACATGCCATGAGACAGGACTGAGGCGAGAGCCCCTTCTCCATGGCCACCCGCTTCGCCGTCTCCCTTGGGCAGCCCGGCCAGCCCCGGTGGAGCCAGCCGCAGGGAGTCTGGGAAGGCGTTTCTCATCTCTCAGCCTGGGTCAGACCTGCAGGCTCATGGAAGGCAGTCGGATTTTACGGTGCTGACTGGCTCACGTGTGCACGTTGAGTGAGCACAGAGGAGTTTCGGGGACTTGGAGCTGGTGATGGCGGGAAGGCCTTACAGAGAGAAGCAGCCAGAAAGAGGGACCAGGGCAAGTTGGGAGAGGTCTTTTGGGCCCAGTGGGCCATTGTGGAGTTCTGGGGACCCAGTGAAGAGCTGGTGAACAGCAGCGTCTCATAAGGACCTGGGCCATGGAGAGCCAGGATGGAGAAGAGATGGGGTGGAGGCAGCCTGGGGTGGACAGGGGCAGCGGTGACCTGAGTGACCGTTCGGGTTAAGAGTCAGGATCGGGGTCGAGATGACAGCTCGCTGGCTGACCACAGGAGCTGTGCAGAAGACACAGGTGTTGGATGTGGAGGCCAGGATTCAGCTGCTGGACAGTGGAGAGACAGAGGAGGGCAGCCCTGAGCACGCGTGAATGTGTGAAAGCCGACATAGGTGGAGAGCGGGCATGGGGGCAGCCTGCACACAGGAAGTCCAGGCTGTCAGGGCCAGAGGGTCGGGACACCTCCTGGGAGTCTGCAGACACCAGCCTGGAGTGGAGGGAGGTGGAGGGGGGGACAGCAGAGAATGGAATGGGGCTGACCAGGTCCCCAAGGGGTGTCAGACCACATGTGAGCTAGGAGTGCACACTGTATCAGACCACACGTGAGCTAGGAGTGCACACAGCGTGTCAGACCACACGTGAGCTAGGAGTGCACACAGCGTGTCAGACCACACGTGAGCTAGGAGTACACAGCGTGTCAGACCACACGTGAGCTAGGAGTGTACACAGCGTGTCAGACCACACGTGAGCTAGGAGTGCACACAGCGGGTCAGACCACACGTGAGCTAGGAGTACACAGCGTGTCAGACCACACGTGAGCTAGGAGTGCACACAGTGTGTCAGACCACACGTGAGCTAGGAGTGCACACAGTGTGTCAGACCACACGTGAGCTAGGAGTGCACACTGCGTGTCAGACCACACGTGAGCTAGGAGTGCACACAGTGTGTCAGAGCACACGTGAGCTAGGAGTGCACACAGCGTGTCAGACCACACGTGACCTAAGAGTATGCACAGCGTGTCAGACCACACATGAGCTAGGAGTGCACACAGTGTGTCAGACCACACGTGAGCTAGGAGTGCACACTGCGTGTCAGACCACACGTGATGTAGGAGTGCACACAGTGTGTCAGACCACACGTGAGGTAGGAGTGCACACAGTGTGTCAGACCACACGTGAGCTAGGAGTGCACACAGTGTGTCAGACCACACGTGAGCTAGGAGTACACAGCGTGTCAGACCACACGTGAGCTAGAAGTACACAGTGTGTCAGACCACACGTGAGCTAGGAGTACACAGCGTGTCAGACCACACGTGAGCTAGGAGTGCACACTGTGTCAGACCACACGTGAGGTAGGAGTGTGTACAGTGTGTCAGACCACACATGAGCTAGGAGTGCACACAGTGTGTCAGACCACACGTGAGCTAGGAGTACACAGCGTGTCAGACCACACGTGAGCTAGAAGTACACAGTGTGTCAGACCACACGTGAGCTAGCAGTGCACACAGTGTGTCAGACCACACGTGAGCTAGGAGTGCACACATGTCAGACCACACGTGAGCTAGAAGTGCACACAGCGTGTCAGAGCACATGTGAGCTAGGAGTGCACACAGCGTGTCAGACCACACATGAGCTAGGAGTGCACACAGCGTGTCAGACCACACGTGAGCTAGAAGTGTACACTGTCAGACCACACGTGAGCTAGGAGTGCACACAGTGTGTCAGACCACACGTGAGCTAGGAGTGCACACATGTCAGACCACACGTGAGCTAGAAGTGCACACAGCGTGTCAGAGCACATGTGAGCTAGGAGTGCACACAGCGTGTCAGACCACATGTGAGCTAGGAGTGTACACAGTGTGTCAGACCACATGTGAGCTAGGAGTACACAGCGTGTCAGACCACACGTGAGCTAGGAGTGCACACAGTGTGTCAGAGCACACGTGAGCTAGGAGTGCACACTGCGTGTCAGACCACACGTGAGGTAGGAGTGCACAGTGTGTCTGACCACACGTGAGCTAGGAGTGCACACAGCATGTCAGACCACACGTGAGCTAGGAGTGCACACAGCATGTCTGACCACACGTGAGGTAGGAGTGCACACTGCATGTCTGACCACACGTGAGGTAGGAGTGTGTACAGTGTGTCAGACCACACGTGAGCTAGAAGTACACAGCGTGCAGACCACACATGAGCCTGAGGTGTGCACAGCGTGTCACACCACACATGAACAAGGGCATTGCAGCTATAGCATGGCATAATATGGCGTGAGACATGGCAGCTAGGGCACGGCACAGTGTGGTGAGAGACACGGCAGCTCTGGCATGGCACAGTGTGGTGAGAGACACAGCAGCTCTGGCATGGCACAGTGTGGTGAGCGAGGCCAGTGATGGCCCCTGGCGTCCAGCTGGATCACTGTTATGGGGGGGTACAGGAAGAGTCAGCATGCACACTCGCAGTGGGCAGTCCCGGCTCACGGGGGGAGCATCCTCCTGCCACGGGAACTGCAGCTCCAGGGCCCCCGTGCCAGGCCCTGGTGTCCTGTGCCCATGGGTGGGCCACCTCGTCTCGCGGATGAGGCAGGAGGAGAAGGCGTGCGCCTCGGCTGCACGTTCTGGGCAGCAGCTGAAGTCTCAGGTAGTGTGTGCAGTCCAGAGCGCTTGATGGACGCCTTGGAAGCCTCGCTCTGGGACAAGGCACTCACGTCTGGGTGAAGACCACGGCCCGGCGGTTCCCGGGCTGTGACTGCAGGGCTGCCCTCCGGCACCAGACTGCCGTGCTCACCGTGGCCCCTGGCCGAGGTGAGCGGCGTGGCTCCTGCCTGGCCACAAGACTTAGCATGGGCTTCTGGAGTGGACCGAGTTCAAGAAAGGAGCGGGACTGAGAGCCTGTGTCCTTGGGGTGAGATGTCGGGGAAGCGCTCAGAGAAGCAGAGAGGAGAGAACCGCGCCCACCCTGCCTGGTGCTGCCCAGTCACAGCGAGGAAGCCCCTGGCCGCCAGCCATGTCTCCTCCCTGCCACACGCAGCCGTGCTGTGCCGTGCTGCCCTCTTCCCCCGTCCCGTTCCCCAGAAGTCCCCAGCAAGCGCTGTGGCCCGGCGCCCGGGTGGATGTAGTTGGTCGTGGCCACCTGAGCCCTCGGTACCTGGCCGGCCCGTGGGGACCTTGCCCTGTGTGTGTCCCCGGAAGCCACTTTGAACTGATTTTTCATAGACAAGAGTGTGCGCCCTTCCCTGGTGAGGGCGTCTGGCGCAGCCAGCAGTGCCGGGATCGCTCTCGTCCCGGGACAACAAGTCACAACGCCCTGGCCGCTGTTCCTGGGCCTCCCCCTGCCCGCAGGGGCCGCCTCAGTGGTGGGCACCTGTGGACTGGCCCTGCAGTTTCTCCACACCGCTCGCCGGGGCTGCTTGTTAACTTTCGTCATTCGGGACGGTGATCTCTGTCAGCAGCATGAGCACACAGCCTCGGGGGTGTCCCCGCCCTCTGTGCCCGTGACGTCCAGCGGGGGTCACGGAAGCCCCTGCTTGGCAAGCGTGTTGGCCGTGTGTGTGTGTGTGTGTGAGTGTGTGTGCAGCCTTCTCGGGGGGCAGTCAGAGCACCTACCACCCCATGTGTCAGCTCCACATAAGCGCCCCCTGGTGGCTGCCTGGAGCTGGCGTCCTGGGGCCGTCCACAGTTGCACTGACTTGCTGACCTCCCACTCTCCACTTCTGTCAGAATCTGGGGAAGCTGGTTTGGTTTGGTTTGGTTTGGTTTGGTTTGGTTTGGTTTGGTTTGGTTCTGTTCTGTTCTGTTCTGTTCTGTTTTGTTTTGTTTTAATTGTCAGATATTACCACCTCAGAGTATTGGTCTGTCTTATAAAATATGGTCTTGCAATTACATATTTTTGATTTTTCATGTGTCCAGTTTTATTGAAGTAAATGTCAAAAAGACAACTTTCCCCGTTCTTATTTTTCAACACTTTATTTCAGAGTAGTTTTAAATACTGTGAGGTAGTTACACAGACCGTTCCCACATGCCGTTCTGGTGGTGGTAACAGAATTGGTGTCTGTGAGCCTGGGGGAACGGGTGTTAGGAAGTACAGTGCAGCTCCGTGCAGCGGGCTCTCTGGGCCGGTCCAGACCCACGCCACCCGCAGAACAACAGTGACAACCTGGAGAAGCACCCCAAGGCTCGGCTGGGGACACCTGCGCCCCAGCCTACGCCTGAGCCCAGCTGATGTGCACCTGACAGGCAGCGGGTGATGGCTCAAAGACAGAAGTGGCCCCGGTGCAGCTCCTGGCTCCTGGCTTTGGGCTAGCACAGCCCCAACTGTTGCAGGCACTCGGGGAACGAAGCAGCACATGGCTGATCTCTCTCTTCCTCCTACCCCCACGCCCATTGTTGGGTAGTGCTGAGCCCGAGCAGGGTGTGTGGGGCCGTGCTGGCAAAGGGGGGTGCCCTGCACACACTGCCATGCACGGCGCCACCTCCCATGATGTGGTGGGAGCCAGCCCTGCAGAGCCTGCTGGTCTGGGTCCTGCCGCTCTAAGAAGCCGCCGCTCTAAGAAGCCAACAGGAAGTAGTCGGTCACCGTGACAGCTGGCAGAGACGTGGCCGAGAGTGGGGACGGTGCCAGCACAGCATTTACGTAGACCCCAGGAACCTTAGCAGCCCGAGTATCCTGTACGCCTAGAGATGCGTGCCCTAAGGCTCTTAAAACTGCACTTGCAGGGCCAGCTGGTGGTGTGGGTCACGGTCACGGTCTGTCCTCCCCTCGGGACTGACCCAGTGCTGTCACATGACGCCGTACTGTGTGGGCAGAGGTGGGAGCCGCTGCTCACAGCTCCCTCTCCCTGAACTGCAGCCTGGAAGCAGTGGGGTGGAAGCCTCCGCCTGGACATGTGACACAAGAACCGTGGTTTGGGGTAGAGATGGCACCAGAAGTGTGCCGGCGGTGTTTCCTCTGCAGAGCAGAAGCTGCACTCGGGGCGGGGGGGGGCTGTGCTGGGCCGTTTCGCTCCCCCGTGCTTGGGGCTTTAAGAAGCAGAACTAGACTGGACAGAAGGGCAGAGAACCAGACGTCTTGGCACAGCAGCAGCGAGACACGGCTGTCGGTGCTGGACCAGGGGCCGCTAAACCACATGGCCTGGGGCACCGGCATCCCATACAGAGCGCGGGCTGGGTCCCAGCGGCTCCACTTCCAGTGCGGCTTCCTGCTAATGTCCCTGGGAAGGCAGTGGATGCTCGCCAACTGCTTGGGCTCCTGCACCCACACTGGACGCCCAGCTGGAGTTCCTGGCTCCTGGCTTCAGCCTGGCCCAACCCTGGCTATGGTCGCCATTTTGGGGAGTGAGCCAGCAGAGGGAAGATCTCTCTCTCTCTCTCTCTCTCTCTCTCTCTGGCTCTGCCTTTCAAATCTAAAACAAGACAGGCCCAATGCATGGACCTTGGAGGCCCACACACAGAGCTTGCATGAAGACAGCTGGGAATGTAGCGTGGCCTGCAGGAAGCCAGGGAGAAGGAGCGAGTGTGCTTCAGATCTGTGCAACGCACCGAGACAGAAGCTAAACAAGATGTCGCTCTGTTTCTAATACCTGCTCTGTGCACTGTGTAGCCAGAGCCCATGGCCAGTTCCAGGGGAGCCCTCTCTGTAACCTCAAATAGAGCCCCTACCTCTGGATGGAAGTGCCAGGCGCCCACAAGGCACGGCATTTGGCAAAGTGGGAAGAGTAGATGTTGCCGGCTGTCTTAGCGAATTCTACTGGAGGTCTCACCAAACACCAGCAGCCCCTCCCCCCGCTGTGGGTTCTGGCCGTCCCGGACACAGCCCCTCCCCTGCCGTGGGTTCTGGCTTCTGTTCTGTGTCCATTTCGCCCTCCAGCACCTGCTGACTGGTGACAGAGGACAGAGCGTTGCATCATCGGTCCTTTGTCATTCCCCGCTCAGTGTGGTTCTGAAGAATCTGAAAGGAGATGGTGTTTCCAGAACCCTACAGGACAGAAATGTTTTGCCAAAAAATGGTAGCGGCTGGAGAATCATTTCTGACACTGTAATATCTGAGTCTGAAATGTTAGACAAGAACTCGTCCCGCCTCGTCGAGCCCAACCTGGAAGACTTCCGCGAGTTGCTAGCAAGGAATCCACAGCACTCCAGCGGAAGCAGGGGCAGCGAGTTGTGAGGCCACCTGTGTCCCGAGAACGCGGACTCTGGGGTGTCGTGGCCGGCAAGGAGCACAGCCTGGCGTCCACAGGAACGGGAGTCTCGCCTGAGATCAGCTTAAATGGAAACGGTCGTTCCGTGCGTGTTGAGTGGACAAATGTCCTCCACTTCCGTGGGTGTTGAGTGAACAAATGTCCTTCACTTCTGGGATTCTGAAAGATGATGCTTAAAAATCTCTGCCTTCGGGGCAGTGTGTCACATAGCAGATAAAGCTTCAGCCCGCAGCGCCGGCATCCCACATGGGCGCCAGTTCAAGTCCTGGCTGCCCCACTTCCAATCCAGCTCCCTGCTGTAGCCTGGGAAAGCAGTAGAAGATGGCCCAAGTCCTGCACCCATGTGGGAGACCCGGAAGAAGCCCCTGGCTCCTGGCTTCGGATCAGCTCAGCTCTGGCCATTGTGGCCATTTGGGAGTGAGCCAGCAGATGGAAGATCTCTCTCTCTCTCTACCTCTCCTCTCTCTCGCTCTCTCTCTGTAACTCTACCTCTCAAATAAATAAATAAATCTTTAAAAAAAGAAGGAAAATTCTTTGCATTCTACACAGAAGTACCCCATAGAATTTCTGCTGCTTTTGAAAAAATTCTTTGTAAACATTGATCACCTATAATTACCATAGTCTTAATACTTATTTGTGCTTTTGACCTAAACGATTTGTGACGTCGATGTTCGGCACTGCAGGGGTCGGCTGGCGAATGCAGTCTAGGTGAATGTGATGGCCCAGTGGTCTTCAGCGTCACCGAAACCATCGCAGCTCCTCAGAAGTCGGTGGCTGCGTCAGCCATGTCCGTGTCCTGACGCAGCTTTGCCCTGGTCTGCGCAGCTCCGGCTCCGGTCTGAGTGGTCGTGGACGGAGCTGCCGTTGGCGGTCGCAGGCTGCAGGCTGTGCTCAGCGTGGCTCGTGGCTCACGTGCCCCTTTGTCGTTAATAATGCGTTCTGCCAAAATAGAGTAGCCAGGGAAGCAATTCTGTGCCATTTTTAAGACAGAAAATTCATCTTGTGTTGCGATGATCACATCCGCGCAGAGGCCAGGTGATTTCAAACCACCAGTTGGCTTGCTCTGTTCGCACCGCGAGCCTCCCTCCGCGTGCAGTGTGAGCCTCCGTTCTCTGTCCCTCCTGTCTGCATGTCCTGGAAAATTACCGTGGGTCCAAGGGGTGCGTGCAGCTGGCCCTCGGCAGAATCAAAGTGATCAGCATTTGAGCCAGTTTGGCACTGGAGGGACACACGGTGGGGGAGGCAGTGCGGGGAGGGGCGGGGAGGGAGGGGACAGTGCAGGGAGGGGCGGGGGGCAGGCATCGGGTCTAGCGGTTAAGATGGCGTGTGGGACACGTGTGTTCCATGCTGGAGAGCCTGGATTCCGCTTCCCGCTCTGGCTGCTGCCTGCAGGCTCCCGCTGGTGAACACCCTGAGAATCTGGGTTAAGTTCTGGCTCCCGACTTGAGTGCACAGCACCCCACCTCCCCAGCCCCATCAAGCAGTTACAGGCAGCTGGGGAGTGAACCAGGGGATGGAGCTGTCTCCCTGTCTCCATCTGTCTGCCTTAATTAAATGTCTAAAACTAAGCAGATCTGATTAAATGAATGCTTTTGTCTCCAGCAGCCATTCTTTTTTTTTTTTTTTTTTTTTTTTTTTGGACAGATAGAGTTAGGCAGTGAGAGAGAGAGACAGAGAGAAAGGTCTTCCTTCCGTTGGTTCACCCCCCAAATGGCTGCCACGGCTGGAGCTACGCCGATCCGAAGCCAGGAGCCAGGTGCTTCCTCCTGGTCTCCCATGGGGTGCAGGGCCCAAGCACTTGGGCCATCCTCCACTGTCCTCCCGGGCCACAGCAGAGAGCTGGACTGGAAGAGGAGCAACCGGGACTAGAACCCAGCGCCCATAAGGGATGCCAGTGCCGCAGGCAGAGGATTAACCAAGTGAGCCACGGCGCCGGCCCCTCCAGCAGCCATTCTAACATGGATGATGGGGAAGTTGGAGACAAGTAACTGTTGGCATCTTCGTCTCTTTTTCTCTCCCTTGTGCCCCTCAGTTTCGTCGGGCTGGGGCGAGATGCCCAGCATCCACTCCAAGGCTGAAAGCTCCTGGGGAGAGCCGCCCTCCCCCTCCACCCTGGTGGACAACGGCACCGCTGCGTGGGGGAAGCCCCCAGGGAGCGGCAGCGGGTGGGGGGACCATGCTGCTGAGCCCGCTGTGACGTTCGGAAGAGCCGGCGCCCCCGCTGCCGCCCCAGCCCTGTGCAAACCAGGTGAGCCCGGGTCGGGTGGTGTAGACACAGTTCCCAGTAGTTACTTTCAGAGGGACACTTGTTGAATTTAAAAGGTGAAATTTCAGGACAGTTTTCCTCCCTGCGTTTATACGCTAGGACTCACTTTGCACCAAGTCTGTAATAAACGCTTGCCGTGCCTGGTGCGTCAGCACCGAAGAGCTGTTGGCAAGCCCCCACCTCCTTGTTAAACAGCGTGCACGGGCCACGCCGCCGGGCGGAGGCGCTCCGTGTTGTCACAAGCTGAGCATCCTAATCCGAAACCCGAAATCTGGAACTCTGAGTACCCGCGCGGCACCACAAGTGGGAACTTCCACTCCTGACCTCAAGGGGGGGCCCCAGTGAAAACGCAAGCGCACCACGAGCAGTGCAGTCACCTTCGCAGACAGACCTCTCGTGTAGGAGGGTTCACGAAGGGGCCGGCGCTGTGGCGTGTGCGGTAAAGCCGCCGCCTGCAGTGCCGGTGTCCCATGGGGGCGCCGGTCAGGTGCTGGCTACTCCATTGCCATCCAGCTCCCTGCTGTGGCCTGGGAAAGCAGTGGAAGATGGCCCAGTGCTTGGGCCCCTGCACCCACTGGGAGTCCTGGAAGAAGCTCCTGGCTTTGGATCAGCCCATATCTTGCTGTTGCGGCCATTTGGGGAGTGAACCCAGCACCACAGCACCTGCCCCTTAAAATTTTTTAAACAAAAAAAGATAAGTTTTTTTTTTTTTTTGGTGCAAAAAAACATTTTGAAATCCATGCATAATTTTTTCATAGTTAAGTTTTCCGTGAACTTGTTAAAGACCTCTTATATACACAAACATTCCAAAATTCAAAATCTGAAACACCTGTGGTCTGAGGCATTTCGGAAGAGGACTACGCAGACTGCGTTAGTGTTCAGTCTTCACGAGTGAGTATCGTGCCTGTCGCTCGAAAGAACTTAAATTTACTTTGCATGAGCCGGTAAAGCGCATCATTGTTTCCTCTTGACAAACCTGGTCCACAGGGCCCCTCACAGCTCTCCTCCCTCCCTCCTGTGTCCACGTGGCCCCCCACGGCTCTCCTCCCTCCCTCCCGTGTCCACAGGGCCCCCCACGGCTCTCCTCCCTCCCTCCCGTGTCCACGTGGCCCCCACGGCTCTCCTCCCTCCCTCCCGTGTCCACAGGGCCCCTCACAGCTCTCCTCCCTCCCTCCTGTGTCCACGTGGCCCCCCACGGCTCTCCTCCCTCCCTCCCATGTCCACAGGGCCCCCCACGGCTCTCCTCCCTCCCTCCCGTGTCCACAGGGCCCCCACGGCTCTCCTCCCTCCCTCCCGTGTCCACAGGGCCCCCACGGCTCTCCTCCCTCCCTCCCATGTCCACGTGGCCCCCACGGCTCTCCTCCCTCCCTCCTGTGTCCATGTGGCCCCCACGGCTCTCCTCCCTCCCTCCCGTGTCCATGTGGCCCCCACGGCTCTCCTCCCTCCCTCCCGTGTCCACGTGGCCCCCACGGCTCTCCTCCCTCCCTCCCATGTCCACGTGGCCCCCACGGCTCTCCTCCCTCCCTCCTGTGTCCATGTGGCCCCCACGGCTCTCCTCCCTCCCTCCCGTGTCCACGTGGCCCCCACGGCTCTCCTCCCTCCCTCCTGTGTCCATGTGGCCCCCACGGCTCTCCTCCCTCTCTCCCATGTCCACAGGGCCCCCCACGGCCTCCTCCCTCCCTCCCGTGTCCACAGGGCCCCCACGGCTCTCCTCCCTCCCTCCTGTGTCCACAGGGCCCCCACGGCTCTCCTCCCTCCCTCCCGTGTCCATGTGGCCCCCACGGCTCTCCTCCCTCCCTCCCGTGTCCACGTGGCCCTCGCGGCTCTCCTCCCTCCCTCCCGTGTCCACGTGGCCCCCACGGCTCTCCTCCCTCCCTCCCGTGTCCATCTGCACCTTGCAGTGGTCTCACACTCCCGACCTCCCTTTCATCTTGTAAACAAAACTCCGCTCTGGGAACTCCACGTTCGTGCCTGTGTTTTCCTCTCATTTTCTGAAAGTTCAGTGAGCTAGCACCCATTTTTACAAATAAACAACTAGGTTATAGGGTCAGGCATCTGGTCTAAAGGTTAAGACACCTGCATCCCAAATCTGAGTACTGGGTTCAGGTCCTGGCTTCAGCTTCCCGCTCACGCAGGCCTGGGAGGCAGCAGGTGCCGGCCCTGGTAACCGAGGCCCTGCTGCCCGTGTGGGAGACCTGGGCTGCGTTCCTCATGTGGCCCCAGCCCCACCTGGCCGTGGCGTCTGGGGAGAGAGCCAGCACGTGGGAACTCAGCTTTTGCTCGTTCTCTCTCTTCCTCACAAATAAATTTTAAAAACACTAACGTCCCAGCTGCGTTGCGGGGCAGCTCCCTGTGGGGTGGGTGCTTCGCAGTGTGGTGCTGGGACGCTGGCGTGGAGCAGGGCGGCGGCAGCATCTGCTGTGTAGGCCTCTTGCTCCCTGGAGCGTCGTTGGCTATCCTGGATCTCAACGTGCAACTTTGCTGGTTTGTGTCTCGTCATTTTGCTGACACGGGACAACGTGCTCCACGCGTCACTGTTGGTATTGGTGGCATTCATAATTCTTTTAAAGATTGTATTTATTTATCTGACAGGTAGAATTACAGACAGTGAGAGGGAGAGCCAAAGAGAAAGGTCTTCCTTCTGTTGGTTCACCCCCAAATGGCCGCCACGGCCAGCGCAGCGCTGATCCGAAGGCAGGAGCCAGGTGCTTCTCCTGGTCTCCCATGGGGTGCAGGGCCCAAGTACTTGGGCCATCCTCCACTGCACTCCCAGGCCACAGCAGAGAGCTGGACAGGAAGAGGAGCAACCAGGACTAGAACTGGTGCCCATATGAGATGCCGGCACCGCAGGCAGAGGATTAACCTAGTGCACCATGGCACCGGCCTCCATAATTCTTTTTACTGCACGACTGACAGGCCAGGAAGCTTGTGGGCGCTGAGGGCCGCACGCCCTGTGGAGCAGAGATGCTGGTCGGCTCTGCCCGCGCCTGTGCGCCGGGAAGCCTCTTTGCACCACCTTGAGGAAGTTCTGTGCGAGTCGGTGGCCTTCTTCAAGTTCTCCCAAGAAGCGAACATTTGGAGCAGCTTTGAAAAACACTGTATTTTAAGAAAGGAGAAAAAATATCCTGAACTCAAAATGCAGCCGTGAGGTCGTAGCTCTGTTTGCCCAGGCCTGCTTCCTGCCAGTGTGTGCGTGTCACCTGGAGCTTGTCAGAGAAGCAGACGGCTGGGCCAGCCCTTGGCCTGCTGCTTGTCCTGTGGGCCCGTTGGAGTAGCACCTGCCCGAGTGACGGAGTGCACACTGGGCTGAGAGCCACACACAGGACAGGTGCATCTCCTGGGCACTGCCGTGTAGACAGGACAGGTGCGGCTCCCGGGCACTGCCGTGCAGACAGGACAGGTGCATCTCCCGGGCTCTGCCGTGTAGACAGGACAGGTGCAGCTCCCGGGCTCTGCCGTGTACACAGGACAGGTGCGGCTCCCGGGCACTGCCGTGTAGACAGGACAGGTGCGGCTCCCGGGCGCTGCCGTGTAGACAGGACAGGTGCGGCTCCCGGGCACTGCCGTGTAGACAGGACAGGTGCGGCTCCCGGGCTCTGCCGTGTAGACAGGACAGGTGCAGCTCCCGGGCTCTGCCGTGCAGACAGGACAGGTGCATCTCCCGGGCACTGCCGTGTAGACAGGACAGGTGCATCTCCCGGGCACTGCCGTGTAGACAGGACAGGTGCGGCTCCCGGGCTCTGCCGTGTAGACAGGACAGGTGCGGCTCCCGGGCTCTGCCGTGTAGACAGGACAGGTGCATCTCCCGGGTGCTGCCGTGTACACAGGACAGGTGCATCTCCCGGGCTCTGCCGTGTACACAGGACAGGTGCGGCTCCCGGGCTCTGCCGTGTACACAGGACAGGTGCGGCTCCCGGGCTCTGCCGTGTAGACAGGACAGGTGCATCTCCCGGGCTCTGCCGTGTACACAGGACAGGTGCGGCTCCCGGGTGCTGCCGTGTACACAGGACAGGTGCGGCTCCCGGGCTCTGCCGTGTAGACAGGACAGGTGCGGCTCCCGGGCACTGCCGTGTAGACAGGTGCATCTCCCGGACTCTGCCATGTGAAGGGTCCCACCTTCTTCTGTAGTCCCCTGGCATTTTATTGCTACAATGCCTGTATTTTTTTTAACAGGCAGAGTGGACAGTAAGAGAGACAGAGAGAAAGAGAGAAAGGTCTTCCTTTGCCGTTGGTTTACCCTCCAATGGCCACTGCGGCCGGCACACCGTGCTGATCCGATGGCAGAAGCCAGGTGCTTCTCCTGGTCTCCCATTGGGTGCAGGGCCCAAGCACTTGGGCCATCCTCCACTGCACTCCCTGGCCACAGCAGAGAGCTGGCCTGGAAGAGGGGCAACCGGGACAGAATCCGGTGCCCCGACTGGGACTAGAACCCGGTGTGCCGGCGCCGCAAGGCAGAGGATTAGCCTATTGAGCCGCGGCGCTGGCCCTGTATTTTTTTTTTTAAGATTGATTTTATTCATTTGAAAGGCAGAGTTAGAGAGAGGGAAAGATAGAGAAATCTTCCATCCACTGATTACTCCCCAAATAGCCACAACAGCTAGGGCTGAGCCAGGCTGAAGCCAGGAGCCAGGAGCTTCCTCTGGGTCTCCCACACGGGTGCAGGGGCCTGAGAGCTTGGGCCATCCTCTGCTGCTTCCCAAGCATGTTAGCATGGAGCTGAATCGAAAGTGATGGCTGGCGCCGCGGCTCACTAGGCTAATCCCCCACCTAGCGGCGCCAGCACGCCGGGTTCTAGTCCCAGTCGGGGCACCGGATTCTGTCCCGGTTGCCCCTCTTCCAGTCCAGCTCTCTGCTGTAGCCCGGGAGTGCAGTGGAGGATGGCCCAAGTGCTTGGGCCCTGCACCCGCATGGGAGACCAGGGGAAGCACCTGGCTCCTGGCTTCGGATCAGCACAATGCGCCGGCCGCAGCGCGCCGGCCATGGCGGCCTTTGGAGAGTGAACCAACGGCAAAAAGGAAGACCTTTCTCTCTGTCTCTCTCTCTCTCTCACTGTCCACTCTGCCTGTCAAAAAAAAAGAAAAAGAAAGTGATACAGCCAAGACTTGAACCAGAGCACGGATAGGCTGCCAGCATTGCAGGGGGTGACTTAACCCGCTACCCCAGAATGGTGGCCCCGACTGACTTTATTTCAAAATGGTCTGTGGTTGGTTATAGAAGTTTGGAGCGTCACTGAGTAGAAATGCCTGGAGTTTGAAGGAAAAAATATAACAGACGTTAACCCAGCCACAGGCGTGACTCAGCACATGGGCTGCAGAAGTAGATTACTCCTGACCCCCCCACCTCACAGTGCAGCACCTGTACCCTCAGGCGGGGCCTCATTTCTCCTGCCCCCTGCACCCCCGGGCGGGGCCTCATCGCCTGTCCACTATGCCCCCTGCACCCTCAGGTGGGTTTGGCCTCATCTCTCCTGTCCACTGTCCTTCCAGCTTCCAAATCTATGCAAGAATGCTGGGGCAGTGGGGGGGACGACGTCAGCGTCGGTGCCAGCCAGTGGGAGGACGAAGAGGGCGACGTGTGGAACAACGCTGCTTCCCAGGACAGCGTCTCCTCCAGCAGCTCCTGGGGCAGTGCCTCCAAGAAAGGACTTCAGAAGGTACGCAGCGTGGGCCCCCCACGGAGGGCTGGAGGTAGCCCCAGGACCCCTGAGACCCTCTGCCTTCCCCGCCGCTCCGCAGGCCTGTGTTGGAAAGCAGTGTTCATTGTGGCCCCATCTCACCTCCTCTCAGAAGCTAAGCAGGGTTGGGCCTGGTTAGTACTTGGATGGGAAAAAAAGTGCTCATTTAAAAATGTTCTTGGTGTTAACATGTGAAAGGTAATCATTTTGAATGTTCTGTGTCTTAACCTGCAGGGCAGAAAATATTGATAGACAGCTCTTAGACCACAAGTTCCCCAGGGCCCTCCCTGTTTGAGTCTGGGCTGCTGAGACCAGAAAGTCCAAGAACCCCCGAGGTAGACAGTGAAGGAGCTTGGACAGAGGCGGCCCGGAAGGCCTGGGGCCCGCAGCTGCCGTACCCCAAGATGAATTCCAGGAGGACCCCAGATCTAAACGGGGACGATGAAGTGGGCGTGGGAGAGGCCAGAACATGAAGCAGTTCTGGGTGCAGTAGATGAACACAGACGCAGGGTCGTGTAACTTAACCACCGTGAATCAGGGCGCCCTGCTGGAGGGTGTGCCTGCAAACCCGCTCTCTTCTAGGCCATGAAGACCTCTGCCAAGCAGGACGAGGCCTGGGTCGTGAGCCGGCTGATCAAACAGCTCACCGACATGGGCTTCCCGGTGAGTGCGCCTGGCCCGGCCCGTCTGCCGCGCTCGCACGCTCAAACCCCCTCACCCCCGCGGTTTGCTTCAGGGGCGGAGAGCCCGCGATGGCCGTCAGGGCAGCTGTGAGAGCCTCCTAGGATGAGACAGCGTGTCGTCTTTACTTCTCATCTGTAATTAATTTGTTGAGCTGTAGCTTGACCAAGATCGCCCAGGAGAGCGAAGGTTTTACATGCAGGTAGAGCGTCCTGGCCGGACGTCCGAGTCCCTCAGTGAGCACTCGGGCCCAGGTGCTCGCTGGCCAGTCAGAGGGCGGAGGTCAAGCTCGTACTCGTGTGGGATGCCGCCGTGTTTCCAGAGTCCCTCACGTGCCCGGTCCTGGCCACATGAAAACTGATCTGTCAGTCAGAGAATGAGGCCGCAGAGGGGACGGAGGCCCTCGGCGGGGCCAGCTCACACCAGCGTGGTCAGCATGGGGCCCCTGCTGGCTCTGACCCTGCACTGAGAGCAGTCTCTTCCCATCAGAGGGATAAGTTTCAGATGAGTCCGCTTGTGTTTTCCTCATAGAGCCCAGAGCTGACAGAGTAGACCGCGAAGCTCTGTGCTGAGAGTGACTCATGGCGGCTGCACTGAGACACACGCGGGGCGCGACGTGGGGCGGAGTCTGCCCAGTCCTTTCAGGCGTGTCTGTGTCTGGGGCCCTGCAGCCCTGGCCTCGGGGGCGTGCGTCCCAAACACTGCTGCCCAGTGCGGCCCAGAGCACGGTGGCTGCAGGACTTGCTCAAGCCCCGCCTCCTGCTGACCAGAAGCGCCAGCCCGGCCTTTGATTGCGAGTGGTTTTACCTGAACGTCACCGATGCCGCGCCGCAGCAGGGAGGAGGGCGTCTCCGGTCCGGACCCTGACCACAGTCCCGTTCCTGACCTGACGGTGACCGCACGTCCGTTTGTTAACGCCCTCTAACGAGAGCTCTTTCCCTACCCAGAGAGAGCCAGCTGAAGAGGCCTTGAGGAGTAACAACATGAACCTCGACCAGGCCATGAGTGAGTAGGCTGAAGTGCACCCGCCTGTTCCCAGGGGTTTTGCTGGGGTCGCCGGGGAGGGCGGGGCCCGGGGCTGAGGGGCCAACGCCGGCTTTGAGCCATGTTTGCTTTGCGTTTTGTTTTTTTGGTTTTTGTTTTGTTTTCATTTTTTTTTTATTAAACAGAGAGAGACAGGAGAAAGGTCTTCCTTCCGTTGGTTCACTCCCCTAATGGCCGCTATGGCTGGCACTGCACTGATCCAGAGCCAGGATCCAGGTGCTTCTCCTAGTCTCCCATGGGGTGCAGGGCCCAAGCACTTGGGCCCTCCTCCACTGCACTCCCGGGCCACAGCAGAGAGCTGGCCTGGAAGAGGGGCAACCGGGACAGAATCCGGCGCCCCGACCGGGACTAGAACCCAGTGTGCCGGCGCCACAGGTGGAGGATTAGCCTAGTGAGCCGCGGCGCCGGCCCTGTTTTCATTTTTATACAGTCCTTTTTAAAAAAAAGACTTGTTTATTTGAAAAGCAGAAATACAGAGTGAAGGAGAAAGAGAAAGAGCTGCTTTCTGCTGGTTCACTCCCCAAATACCGCAACGGCCGGGGCTGGGCCTGGCCAGGGCCAGGAGCCAGGGGCTTCCTCTGGGTCTCCTACATGGGCACAGGGGCCCAAGGACTTACACCGTCCTCTGCTGCTTTCCCAGGTGCATTAGCAGGGAGCTGGATCGGAAGAGGAGCAGCTGGGACTCAAATCGGTGCCCATATGGGATATTGGTGCTGCAGGCAGAGGCTTAACCTTCTACGCCACAGCACTGGGACCTGTCCAGTACTTTAATAAGTGGATGAATTCTCCGCTATTTGGGGAGGAACCCGGGGCCTCTTGCAGACAGAAGGCAGGACCAGAGCCAGACTTGGGCTCCCCCAGCCCAGTGCCTCACCCCAGGGGCGCTCACTTAGAGCCACAGGAGCATTGCTGGGCTGGCGCAGCTCTGGCTGCTGTTTGTTTAGTTGATTGTTTTAAAGATTTGTTTTATTTATTTGAAAGGCAGAGTTAGAAAGGAGGCAGGAGAGGTCCCCAGATGGCTGCAGGCCAAAGCCAGGAGCTTCGTCCTGGTCTCCCACGTGGGTGCAGGGCCCAAGTACTAGGCCATCTTCCTCTGCTTTTCCAGGAGCATTAACAGGGAGTTGGGTCAGAAGTAGAGCAGGGGGCGACGCTGTGGCTTAGTGGGTTAAGCCACTGCCTGCAGTGCCAGCATCCCATGTGGGCGCCAGTTCAAGTCCCAGCTGCTCCACTTCCAATCCAGCTCCCTGCTGTGGCCTGGGAAAGCAGTGGAAGATGCCCAAGTGCTTGGGCCCCTGCACCACGTGGGAGACCAGGAAGAAGCTCCTGGCTCCTGGCTTTGGATCGGCTCAGCTCCAGCCATAGCAGCCATTTGGGGGGTGAACCAACGGAAGGAAGACCCTTCTGTCTCTCTCTCTTACTGTCTAACTCTGTCAAATAAATTAAAAAAAAAAAAAAGTGCGCCCCCAGTGCTTACGCAGTGAACTGGGGAACAATTCTGAACACCACAGTCACCGGCAGACAGCATCGATGTGTGGAAACAGGCGTCGGGTGCGCCGAGGGAGCCTCGCACACGGGCTCCGCCCCGAAGGCGGCTGCACGGGTCCTCGACAGCACACAAGTGCTGCAGGCGTCGGTCGTGCAGCTTGAGTCCTTGTAGTGAGTCAGCAAGTTCCTAGGTAGTGAGGGTGGGGCTGGTGTCGGAGCACAGTGTGCTAAGCCGGCATCCTGCACCACAGAGCCTCGTGCGAGTCCCGGCCGCTCTGCGCTTCCGGTGCCGCTCTGCTGCTGGCCTGGGAGGCAGCAGGTGACCGCCAAGTGCTGAAGCCCCTGCCGTCCACGTGGGAGACCTGGTCCACCCCTGTCACCCGGGCAGTGAACCAACAGAGGAGGATCTCTCTGTCCCTCCCTGTCACTCTGCCTTTCAAATAAATAAGTCTTTAAAAATGAGTGAGGATAGAGCGTCTAGTAACATCCAAGTGCCAAAGCGTGGGCTACGGGGCTGCCCCGGGTTCGGCGGAGCAGCTGACATCCGTGCCCCTCGTCAGGATCCTTGAGTTCAGTGCCAGCCCTGCCTCCCGGCGATGCAGACCCTGGAGGCCGCGGCGATGGCTCCAGGGCTTGGGTTCCTGCCCCCGCAAGAGGAGCCTGGATGGATGTCCCAGCTCCCAGCTTCAGCCAGGCCTGGCCCTGTCCATTTTGGACTTTTGGAGAATGAACAGATGAGCGCTCTCTCTCCCTCTCGCTGTCTCAAGTAAATTAGTGATTTTTTGCAATGTATGCTACAGACTGCAAGGGTAGGAAAAGCCCATGTGAACTAGAGAGAGCGACTTCTAGCTCCTTAAAGTGTGAGGTGATGTGAGCTGACGCAGGCGCAGCTGGCACCGTCAGCAGGCCGCAAGCTGCGGCACAGGCCCTGCCCTGCTTTGCGAGGTGGCGCTCCTGCCGGGGGCGCAAGAGGAGGCTGGGCGGTCGGGAGGGCCCCCTTGAGACAGGCGCGTGGAGCCTGCCTGAGGGGAGAAGCAAGCCCCGAGGGACCAGCAGGCGCCGTGTGTGGAGTGCAGAGGACAAGCAGAGCCAGGCAAGCCGGCGGGGCCCGTGCAGGTCTGTGCCCAGGGCCCCTTGGGGGGCTGTTGCCCTGCCCCAGGCTTCAGCCGGCACCCGTCCAGGTCTGTGCCCAGAGCCCCTTGGGGGGCTGTTGCCCTGCCCCAGGCTTCAGCCGGCACCCGTCCAGGTCTGTGCCCAGAGCCCCTTGCTCTTGTTCCCCAGGCGCTCTACTGGAAAAGAAGGTGGACGTGGACAAGCGTGGCCTGGGAGTGACTGACTACAATGGGATGGTCCCAAAAGCCCTCGGCTGCCGCCCACCCATCTCCAAAGAGTCTTCCGTGGACCGTGCCACCTTTCTGGACAAGGTGTGCCTTTAGGGAGTTCTTGGTCTGGTTGCCTTGTAGCATTTGCACTGTGTCCTCGGTGCGAGTCGGGTTGACACTTGCTGAGCTGTCGTGGTTCGGTGACTTGTACCCGTCAACTCAGGAGGGGTGCGCTCCCAGGCAGGCAACGCTGAAACAGGCCCGGCCTCACCGTGCGAGCGCGCTGGTCACCTGCTGCCTGTGCGACAGGAAGAGGTCATCAGGTTTCTGTTCGGTCTCAATTTCAAGATGGCAGTTGTGTCATTTGGGAATGATGGCACGCGCTTAATCTTGGGAGAAGGGATTAGAGGCGGCGGGGCTTGGCCCCGGCTGGCTGGCCTGTGCCCGTCGGTCCGCAGTGCCCCTGCGGAGCTGGAAAACCCAGGCCCTTCAGTGTTGTCGGTGTGACCGCAGGAGGGTGGAGCGTCGCCTTCCAGTCGGGTTCTAGAAGCCTCAAGGAGAGCTGAGTGAAAGCACAGGTTAGAGGCGAGAACAGGCCCACAGCAGAGGCGGTGTCTCCGCGGCTTCCGCCGCACGCCGGGCTCGCGAAGGCTGCGTCTGTGGCGTGGCGCAGGAATGGACGCGAACCAGAGTAACTGGCCCTTGGTCTGGGGTTCCGGTCTAACTCAACTCCCCGCAACCCTGGCACGGCGCCCTGGCTGAGTTGCTCACCTTAGAGTGTGGAGCAGACGCAGGCGGGCCGCGGTGCCAGATGAGACAGATTTGCAAAGGGCCTGGCACGCAGCGTGACCTCAGTAAATGCAAAGTGATCAGCAGGGTTGGTCTGAGAACAGGGCCCTCACGGGGCTGAGCCCATGGAGTTGCTGTGGGTGCGCGTGTGCGCATGTGTGCGTGTGCGCAGCCTCGCAGCGGCTCCTCCAAGCACACGCGCCCGTGGGCACTGGGGCAGCTCCTGAGTGAGGCTTTGGCCACGCCTCTGTGCTTCCCCTGACTCCCTGAAGCCGGGAGACTGGGGCTTAGTGTGTGTGTGTGTGTGTGTGTGTGTGTGTGTGTGTCTGAGTGTCTGAAATGGAGTTTTAGTGAAAACAGCGTCCTAACCCTGTTTCTCTTTTTCTTTTTCCCTCTTCCTTTTGCCCATGTCCTCCATTCCCTCACCCACACGTTCTGATCTTTCGATTCTTTGTCCATCCATTCCCCTCTCCCTGTCTTCCTGGGACACTGTTTGCCGCTGTGTCTGCTGCCCACTGCACGCAGCTCACCCTCTCTTTCTCCAATCAGGATGGCGGCCTCGTGGAAGAGCCCACGACTTCACCGTTTTTGCCTTCCCCAAGCCTGAAGCTCCCCCTGGCAAACAGTGCACTCCCCGGTCAGGCCCTGGGTGGGGTTGCCTCAGGGCTGGGCATGCAAAACTTGAATTCTTCTAGACAGGTAAGGCTGTTGGGAGAGCAGGGCGCTCTGTGTACCTGCCGTCTAACGCGTGTGTTGGAAACCTGAACTTCTTAGTTCACCCGATACTCCTGTCGCTGCGGAGTCAGGTTCACACAGGCGGCCGAGACGCTGTGGGGCCTCCCTATGGGCGCTGGCACTGCCAGGATTAGACCTGAGCAGCAGGGAGCTGGTGTGGTGGCCGGCAGGCCTGCAGGCGCCAGGTCCACTACGGCACCCGTGGTGCCCGGCCTCTCCCGGCAGCGCCCCCGCGGTGGCCTCGCCCTCGGCATACGCTGCCTTCCACCTGTGCCCAGACTTGAGGGCACATGCCCTGCGAGGTGTCACTCCCGCCTCGCCCCTCCTGGGGAAGGAGGAAGCTGACCGCTGGGTTCTCCGGTGCGAAGTGAGACACGCACAGGCCGTGCAGCGGCCCTCACTTGGTCCCTCCTGGACTTGGGCCTCTGAGCGTCTCTGGGCGTGGACACTGCGGTGTCCCCTGTGTGGTGTGGTCCCAGTGCCGTTAACCACTCGCAGCCGCTTCCAGCGGCACGAGCCTGGGCTCCTCCAAGCCCCGCCCGGGGGCTTTAGCAGGGTGGGGCTGGCAGTGGACGCCGGCTCCAGCCGGATTCCCTGCTCTCCTGGTTGGCCATAATGCGGCCCAGACGCCACTGGGTGAAGCACTTAGTGTTCTGCCATGGCCAGCCTGTGACAGCTTTGGGGACAGTGTGACACTGACTCCATGTGGCTCCTGTGCGCGTCCTGGGCCGGTTTCCCATCGCTGTGACTGCGGAACGGGTTGACAGTGTAGGAGGCAGAAGCAGGTCTGTGTTTGTACTTAGGACAAAGCGTTTCCCAGCCCCTGCAGACGGCGCTCCTCTAACCCCTGCCTGTGTGCGTGCGCTCCTCCCCTGCAGATACCGAGCGGCAATCTGGGTGTGTTTGGCAACAGCGGAACAGCACAAGCCAGGACCGTGCAGCAGCCGCCACAGCCACCAGTGCAGCCTCTGAACCCCTCCCAGCCCAGTCTCCGTGCTCAAGTGCCTCAGTTTCTATCCCCTCAGGTCAGCCCCTCACACGAGCGCACGCGTGGCCGAGCGGAGAGACGGGGGCGTCTGGTGGGGTCTCGGGCCGAGTCAGTCACTGCTCTGAAGGGAGGGCCAGGTGGTGCGCTGGGAGGAGGGCTGGCGCGTTGAGCTTTCGTGCGCCCGAGAGTCCTGGGCAGCCGCTCAGCCGCCCTGCTGCCGGCACACCTCCAGCCGCCCGAGCCGGGTGCGAGTGGCGCTGGCCCACTGCGTGGAGTGCGCTTGGTCATGGTCGTGTTGCAGAGAGCAGCTCCGGGGAGCGTCGGGCTCAGAGCAGTCCAGGGTGGCGGCCTTCCGTGGAGCTGCGTGACCCAGGGCTGCAGGCCTGTGGCAAGCACTGTTAGTTCACGCCTGCCCCAAGAGACTTGATTCTATCAAGGAAAGGGGCGTGGTGGTTGTGCGTGGGCTACGGCCGCCTGGTGGTGGTCTTGACTTCTGGAATGTTCCGTCACTGCTCTTGCTCCTTACCTTACCCAGCCACTGTGGCCGCTCATGCTGCCGACAGAGCTCTCTGCACCTTGGCGGGCCGGGGCGCTGTGCTGCTGCCCTGGGGCAGACCCCGCGTGGCCACCACATTCTAGCGTGACCTAGCAGAGAGAAAAACGGCTTTCTTCCCTACAAGACCTCTGGTACTGGGAAGAGAGCTGACGTTTCTGAGGGGCCTGATTTTCAGCCCGGTGCAAGAGAGAGCGTGCTAATGTCTCAGTGTGGTGGCTCGTAGACTTGAGTTAGACTTCGTCTTAGCTGACTAGAAAGTCACGTCCTAGTGCACTGGGCTGCACCACAGCCAGCAGGGAGCCGCGGGCCGGTGAGCCCTGCTGCCCACGCGGGCTCCCCGCACAGCCTGCCCCACAGACGACCTGATGTCTCCCACCTCCCAGTGCCTCCAAGGGGGACCCAGCCCTCAGCACTGGGACTGGGTGCTGGGTGCTGGGCGCACACTTGCCCAGCAGGACAGCATGGCACAGGGAGGAGAGCGCCGTGTAGCAGGGAATTCACTAGGACTCCGGCCTCTGTAACTGCGCCAGGTGAGAGGGCTGGGGGCTGGGAGGAGGCAGTGACGCAGATGAGTCAGGACACACGGTGAGCTGCGGTCAGCACGAAGATGCCCAAAGGGCAGGCGGGCAAGGCGAGCGTGCCTCTCTCGGGGGCTTCTGGGACAGCCTCGCCTTCCACCAACCACAGCGAGCAAGGCAGGGGAGGGCGGGGGCTTGAGCAGGCGGCCTGGCGGCTGCACAGGCCCCAGTGGTTGGGAGGCAGTGACAGGAATGGCAGGCCCCCTCCCCGGCACGCCTGACTGTCCCGCACGTCGGCCATTGCAGGGTGGTTTCTCGGGAAATCGACTTACCTTCCTGATTTGAGTGAATATATTCGGGCTGGGCCTTTGGCCTACCCGTTAGGACCGGAGTCGCCCACGTCCTGTGATGGACAGCTCTGTCCTGGTTCCAGCTCCCTGGGAACGCAGGCCTCAGGCGCAGCAGTGCCGCCCACGTGAGAGACCTGGCGGCAGCTCCCAGCTCCTGCCTGCAGCCTGGCCCAGCCCTGGCTGTCACAGGCACTGGGAAATGAACCAGGGCGTGGGAGTCAATCCTTTCTCTCTCTGCCTTTCAAATAAACAAAATAATTTTGAATATTGAAAATGTGTTTTTACAGAAACTCTACATGTCTGCCATAAACAAGAGAGTCGCCATGGCCAGTGCCGGCTCCTGTTGGTTCAGAGTGGGGAGGTCTCTGAGCGGGTCAGGGTCAGGTCTGCGAGACCCGCAGGGGTGTGGGGTCAGGTCTGCAGAGACCCGCAGGGGTGCGGGGTCAGGTCTGCCAAGCCCGCAGGGGTGCGGGGTCAGGTCTGCCGAGCCCTGTAGGGGTGCGGGGTCAGGTCTGCAGAGAACCGCAGGGGTGCGGGGTCAGGTCTGCCGAGCCTGCAGGGGTGCGGGGTCAGGTCTGCCGAGCCTGCAGGGGTGCGGGGTCAGGTCTGCGGAGACCCGCAGGATCTGCTGCCAGGCTGAGGTCGACACCTCCCCAGCAGGCGCTGACAGGCCTGCGATCAGCAGTGCGCCCCTGCCCCATTTGGGTGGGGCTCAAGCCAGGGTCAGCGTCTTGCTGGGGTCTCCCTTGCTGTCCCCGGGTGAGGAACGCCGCCTCTGGGAGGAAAGGCCCGGATCAGGACGTTACTCGTGACGGAAAGGCTTGGAGGCCGGAACCCCGGGCCTTCCCTGCTCCCTGCCTGGCCTCCCTCCCCTCGCTCGCTCCTCTCTTCCTCACGTCAGCTACTCCTGCTAAAACGTGCGTGAACAGTGACTGTCCGTCAGAGTGCACCCTTGAGGCCAGTGCCGTCTAAGTGTCCTTATGAGTGACTTCCAGAGAAGGGCGTGCGCAGGCCTACCTCCGCAGACGCGTGGCTAATGGCGTGTTTTCCATTGCGCAGGTTCAAGCACAGCTTTTGCAGTTTGCAGCAAAAACCATTGGTCTCAACCCTGCACTACTAACCTCGCCAGTTAGCCCTCAGCACATGACGATGCTGAGCCAGCTCTATCAGCTGCAGCTGGTGAGTGGGCAGACGCCGGGCGCCGGGCGGCACGGCGCTCCTGGCGAGAGCAGGACGAGGGGCTGCTAACGCGCGCGAACCAGGAGCCGTCAGGAGGGCGGGCGTCGGCCTCCGTGTGCGGGCCTGTGCTCCCGCGGGTGCTCTCGGCCGGCGTCGGGGCACAGGGACCTCAGTCCTCACACGGTGCTGGCACGCACAGTGCGGTCCTGGGGCGGGGCAGGGAAGTCGCCCGTTAGAGTGGACGCTCTGGGGCCACAGAAGCCCAGGAACACAGCTGATGGAACCTAATCCTGGGAGTTTCATCACTTAACATAGCTTTAGTTTTTAATTTTCCGACATCCATGCCGCTGTGTTGCTGGTTGTAGACTGAGCTTGTGGGCGTTGAAGGGCCAAGTGCGTAGTCCTGTCTCTAACATGTGGAGGCCTCATCTGAGAACTCACCGCCTGGGAAACGGCCAGGCGCCGTGAAGGAAGCCGAAAACAGGGCACGTCCCTGACGGACTCAGGCTTTGATGGGAGGCCCGGGGCCCACGGTCTCCCGCCCCGCTGCCCGACTCACAACGTGGGCGTCCGGCTTCCCAGGGGAGGCGGAAGGAAGGCCGGTGCTGGAGACCTCGCGGTCCTGCCAGGCACAGCCCCAGGCACGGCCAGGCCATGTCAGCCAGCAGGCTTCTGTCCTGGCCACAGCCCCACACCACACAGAGCCCACGGACTGAGGCCAAGAATCTCCCGGTTACACAGCTTGCAGTGACCTCTGTGGTGTGAGAATCAGAGAAAATGTAGGGTTACGTTTGTACTCTGGTTTAAAGCAATACATTCTGTCCTTTTCTTTTAAAGATTTATTTATTATTTATTTGAAAGTCAGAGGTACACAGGAGAGGCAGAGAGACAGAGAGAGAGAGGCCTTCCATCTGCTGGGTCACTCCCCAATTGGCCGCAACGGCCGGAGCTGCGCTGATCTGAAGCCAGGAGCCAGGAGCTTCTTCTGGGTCTCCCGTGCAGGTGCAGGGCCCAAGGACTTGGGTCATCCTCCACTGCTTTCCCAGGGCACAGCAGGGAGCTGGGTCAGAAGTGGAGACTCAGGCCGGCGCCACGGCTCACTAGGCTAATCCTCCGCCTTGTGGCGCCAGCACACCAGGTTCTAGTCCCGGTCGGGGCGCCGGATTCTGCCCCGGTTGCCCCTCTTCCACTGCCCGGGAGTGCAGTGGGGGATGGCCCAGGTGCTTGGGCCCTGCACCCCATGGGAGACCAGGAGAAGCACCTGGCTCCTGCCTTCGGATCACCGCGGTGCGCCAGCCGCAGCGCACCAGCCATGGCGGCCATTGGAGGGTGAACCAACGGCAAAGGAAGACCTTTCTCTCTGTCTCTCTCTCTCTCACTATCCACTCTGCCTGTCAAAAAAAAAAAGAAGAAGTGGAGACTCAAACCAGCACACAGAGGAGGCTGGCGCTGTGGGGAGCAGTCTAACCCGCTACGCCACAGCGCCAGCCCCTCCAGCTGTGCCGTAGGACCCACGAGAATTCACTTACATGAAGCGTTTCATGCCTGCATCAGCAGTAGGTTAGTGAGGCGTTTCTAATAATACAATGTCTGCCTTTATTTGAATTCTGTTTTAATAAGGCTTCATGCCAGAAATGCCCCCAAAAATCAGTGTTGTAAGAAAAATGTGAACATTCAGCCAGCATTCTGGCAGGAGCAGGACGGTGCACGGCACTCGTCGGGTCTGTGCCGGCCACAGGTGCTCCAGAGCCTGCAGGCTGTGTGCCGGGTACTGCTCACCGCCGCCTCTCCCACACCGTCCAGGCCGCCGGGACTCAGCGTCAGATTAAGCTGTCGTCTTTGAGTTTTTAGTTGCATGAATCACACAGAGTGTAGCTCTCCTCGCTGACTGACGGCCTCACTACCAGCTCTAAAGAGGGTATTGTCGGAGTTACTTTGGAGAAATCTGGACACTGGAAAGCTTTGCCAACACATTTAGCCTTTAACAAATGCGCGGTGCCTCCGCAGTGCGCTGAAGCGGCGGAGCAGTTAGGACCGGCGGTGCCGGCCACTGTCTCTTGCCTGCTGCCTGATGTCCACAGGTGGAGCCACTTGTGGACCTGCCTGTGACCCGTCCACTCTTCCTTTGTGTCCACAGGCATACCAACGTTTACAGATCCAGCAGCAGATGCTACAAGCCCAGCGCAATGTTTCCGGACCCATGCGACAGCAGGAGCAGCAAGTAGGTCCCCCCAGGTGGGCCTGTCCTTAGCTGTGGCGCTCCATCATCGGGGAGTCGCTAGAGTGTCGCCGGGCTTCCCCTGTGCTCGCTGGGTAGGGCACAAGGCAGCCCGGGTGTGCAGCAGTGGGGCGTGAGCCGGGTGTGTGGCTGGGCGTGCAGCAGTGGGGCGTGAGCCAGGTGTGCAGCCAGGTGTGCAGCAGTGGGGCGTGCAGCCAGGAGTGCAGCAGTGGGGCGTGAGCCGGGTGCAGCCGGGTGTGCAGCAGTGGGGCGTGAGCTGGGCGTGAGCCGGGTGTGAGCCAGGCGTGCAGCAGTGGGGCGTGAGCCGGGTGTGCAGCAGTGGGGCGTGAGCCGGGTGTGCAGCAGTGGGGCGTGCGCCGGGTGTGCAGCAGTGGGGCGTGAGCCGGGTGTGCAGCCGGGTGTGCAGCAGTGGGGCGTGAGCCGGGTGTGCAGCCAGGTGTGCAGCAGTGGGGCGTGAGCCGGGTGTGCAGCAGTGGGGCATGAGCCGGGCGTGCAGCAGTGGGGCGTGAGCCGGGTGTGGCCGCGCGTGCCGCCCTGCCTGCCTGAGGGCCGTGTGTCTCCACCTGCCAGGTTGCGCGCACAATCACTAATCTGCAGCAGCAGATCCAGCAGCACCAGCGCCAGCTGGCCCAGGCCCTGCTCATGAAGCAGCCGCCAGCACCGCCGCCGCCCCTGTCTCTGCACCCCTCTGCAGGCAAGCCGGCCATGGACAGCTTCCCCCCCCACCCCCAGGCTCCCGGCCTACCCGACCTGCAGACCAAAGAGCAGCAGTCTTCGCCCAACACCTTCGCTTCTTACCCTCTCGGTGAGTCCCCTGGGCTCCGTGCTGGCACCAGGGAGCGCCCCGTGATGCCCAGGACCGCGCGGCTGTGGTCGCAGCGGCTGACCAGCGCACCGGGAACGCAGCCTTCATCAGGGGGTAGCTCCAGCCACCGTCTGCGGAGCAGGACTTTGGCCACCGCCACAAACGCTTTCTGTAAACTGAAGGCAGGGCCGTGGGCGCCCCGCAGCTGCCGCACTCCCGCCTCAGCTCTGCAGCTCGTCCCTCTGATTCTCTTCCCTCAGGACGCAGAGGGCAGCTCCCAGCGGCGCTGCCGGCACAGGGCTCATGTTCACAGGAGCCAGGCACTTCTCTGGAACAAACAACATTTGAAAGGCAGAGTGACACAGAGAGAGAGCTTCCATCCCCTGGCTCACTGCACAAGTGCTCGCAACAACAGGGCTGGGCCAGGCCAAAGCCAGGAGGCAGGAGCTCCACCTGGGTCTCTCACGCGGGTGCAGGGCCCAAGACACTGAGCCGCCTTCAGCTGCTTTCCCAGGTGCACTAGCAGGGAGCTGGATGGGAAGCAGAGCAGGCAGTGACTTAACCCACGGAGCCCCTCAGTCAGGCACTTACCCACGGAGCCACGGCCTGCCCCTCAGTCGGGCACTTACCACGGAGCCACGGCCTGCCCCTCAGTCAGGCACTTACCCACGGAGCCACGGGCCTGCCCCTCAGTCAGGCACTTACCCACGGAGCCACGTGCCTGCCCCTCAGTCGGGCACTTTTTTTTTTTTTTTTTTTGAGGGCCTTCATTGCGAACTCTCCCTGCCAGTCAGCTTGTCCTGTGCAGCATTCCTGAGGGAGACGCATCACTGGCGAGCGACAACACTTGGAAACAGCGGGTGTTTCAGTAGCTGGGCTCACCCTCCGGGTGTATAGCACAGAGTTCTGTTAATGCGGCGTGGGGCCCTGACTTAGCCTTCCCGTTAAATCCCACCTAGTTTTATTTAAATTTCATAAGTACAAGTTTAGGAATGTAGTGAGTCTTCCCACCATGCCCGCCCTCCCACCCCGAGGCACTCCTTGAGAAGCAGGGAGGCTCAGGGGCTGGAGTTGTGATGTAGCGGGTAATGCTGCTGCCTGCAGCACGGCCTCCTGTGTGCCACCAGTTTGAGGCCCGGCTGCTCCACTTCTGATCCAGCTCACTGCTGTGGCCTGGGGAAGCAGCAGAAGATGGACCAAGAGCTTGGACCCCTGCACCCACGTGGGAGACCCCATGGAGCTCCTGGCTCCTGGCTTTGGCCTGGCTCACTCTTGGCCATCGTGGCCATCTGGGGAGTGAACCAGCAGACGGAAGATGTTCTATCCCCTCCCCCCTTCTCTCTAACTCTGACTTTTAAATAAATTAAAAAAGAAAAGCACCATTTACTCATGCAACTCCTACAGTAGAGAATGTGAGTTGTATCATCTGCCACATCAGCACCTGTCCATCGCTGGCCTTCCTAGAGGGCACACACCTGGCACGCAAGCCCACAGGTGCCCCCCAGGCCAGGTGGGCTGGCAGGAGAGACTCAGCAAAGGGGAGTGACCCCAGGAGCTGTGCCCAGACTGTCAGAGTGCAGAAGCTAGCGATGGCACTCCGGCTGCTGGTGGTGGCGGTTAGAGTTGGCAGACACACAGCAGAGGGAGCTGGCAGCTTCAGACGTGGCCGAGTGCTGGCGCCCGGGACACCTGCACCCTGTGCCTGGGGCCTGGGTTCAAGTCCCAGCTCTGCCCCACCCAGCCTCCTGCTCCTGTGACCCTAAGTAGCTGGGTCCCTGCCACCCACTGAGAGACCAGATTGAGGTGGCCTTTTGTTTTTGTTTTGTTTTGTTTTGTTTTCTCTTTTTGGGGTTTTTAAAAATGATTTATTTGAAAGGCAGAGTTACAGAGCGAGAAAGAGGTCTTTCATCTGCTATTTCATTCCCCAAGTGGCCCAACAGCCAGGACTGGGCCAGGACAAAGCCGGGAGATTCGTGTGGATCCAAAGTGGAGCAGCCGGGATTTGAACCTGCGCTCACATGGATGCTGGTGGCACAGGGGCAGCTTAACCCTTTGTGCCGCGGTGCCACCCCCAGATTGATTTCTTGGCTCCTGGCTGTGGCCTGGCCCAGCCCTGGCCGTGGTGGAGGTGTCTGTGGAGTGAGCGTCAGATGGGAGATCCCTGTCTCTCTCAAAAAAAAAATGAACATTAAAAAGAAGTTTCAGTCAAAGTCTTTGGCCACGAGTGCAGAGGGAGCTGCAGAGACCGCAGAGGGGCGAGGCTGTCCTAATCACTGCGTCTCCGCCTGCAGCTGCACTGGCCCCGAACATGAGCGTGGGCAGCATGGACGTGGCCAGCGGCTTGTCGGTGAAGGACCCGTCCCAGTCGCAGTCACGCCTCCCTCAGTGGACACACCCCAGCTCCATGGAGAACTTGACGGGTGCCGCTTCTCCTCTGGATCAGAACCCGAGCAAACACGGTACGCCCCGGCCCGCGGGCGCGCTCCCGGCCACCTCGGCCGCCGCGGGAATTCAGGGAGGAAAGCGGAGTGGAGAAGCGTGCGAGTCCCTTAGAGCCAGGTCTCGGCCAGGCAGGGCCCGAGCTTGCGGAACCAGGCGCCAGGTCTCAGCTGCAAACTGAGACATCATTGCAAACGCCCCAGAAGGGGACCGCGCCGTCCCGTCAGCAAGCAGAGGGGAATCCGAGCCCTCGGGAATGGCAGAACACAAGTTAAACCCAGGCGCTTAGGAGGAGCAGAGCCGCCCAGCACCGTCGGCGCGGAGCTTCCCGGAGCATACACAGCAGGAAGTGAGCCCGAGCCAGGATTCTCTGCTTCCTGTGGGGGACCCGGCGCACGGCGCCCGCTCGGCTGCCCATGGCGGGAGCGGGGAGCAGCCTCCTCTGGGGCCATCGGTGTCGTCTCCGTCACTTCGACGCCCAGCGTAGAGGCCGGGAGGCGTGCAGGGCCCACAGCAAGCTTGGTCACTAGCCAGAGACCCGCGGGGGCCAGACCAGCTGCACAGTGGCTCCCGGAGAGCCCTGGCCAAGTCTGGCAAATGAGGCCCTGGTGTCCGGAGCGAGGGGGCTCACTGGGTCCCTCTTTCCTGCTGTCCCACAGGTGCTATCCCTGGAGGTCTAAGCATTGGGCCTCCGGGTAAGTCCTCCATTGACGACTCTTACGGCCGGTACGATTTAATCCCAAACAGTGAGTCGCCAGCCAGCCCGCCTGTAGCTGTTCCCCACAGCTGGTCGCGCGCCAAATCCGATAGTGATAAAATTTCCAACGGCTCCAGCGTCAGCTGGCCCCCAGGTAAGGCCGTGCGACACCTCTGTGTGGTGCCAGGCTTGCACTGTCCAGGCGTGGGAGAGCCTTGGCATCCAGCACCCCTCCACCCCTTATTCTCAACAGTGGGGCTACAGAGCCTCGGTGACGCCAGCCACGGCGGAAGGCCCGGGGCCGTGGGCTGCAGGCTCCCACAGCCCTCCTCCAGGCCGCGGGAGCTGTGGTGCCGGCTCCAGCCTGATCGGAGAACACGCTCATGCACTGAGAGGCAGCGGGAAGTGTGCCTAGGCCGGCAGATGACCAAAGTCTGCAGGCGGGAAGAAAAACACGTACAGCGTGGTGGAGCACGGCGGGCGTGCTGACGCTTGCCGCTTGTCTTGGTTTCTGCCACAGAGTTCCACCCCGGCGTGCCCTGGAAGGGGCTTCAGAACATCGACCCCGAGAGCGACCCCGACGTCACCCCCGGCAGCGTGCCCAGCGGGCCGAGCATCAACACCACCATCCAGGACGTCAACCGCTACCTCCTCAAGAGTGGAGGTGGGCGCGGCGGGGAGGGGCGGGCGGGGCCTCACACACGTCAGCCTCCCTCCCGGAAATGCTTGGACCCGGAGCGTGCCCACAGGGTGCCCAAAAAGTTCGGGATTTCAGCGCGATTCGGATTTTGGGTTTTCCCGTGAGGGATGCTCACCCGGTACATCATGTTTTACGGTTTTACAAAATCATGTTAGCCATTAAGATTTTTTTAAAGATTTATTTATTTGAAAGTCAGAGTTACACAGAGAAGGAGAGGCAGAGAGAGAGAGAGAGAGAGAGAGAGAGGTCCCCTAGCCGCTGGTTCACTCCCCAGATGGCTGCAACAGCCGGAGCTGCACCGATCCGAAGCCAGGAGCCTGGAGCTTCTTCAGGTCTCCCACGAGGGTGTGGGGTCCCAAGGACTTGGGCCATCTTCCGCTGCTTTCCCAGAACATAGCAGAGAGCTGGATTGGAAGTGGAGAAGCTGAGACTCGAACCGGCGCCCATATAGGATGCTGGCGCTGCAGATGGCGGCTTTACCTGCTAAGCCATAGCACCAGCCCCAGAATGCTTTATTTTTAAAACTCCACACTAGAGGTGAACTGGCCCTTTAGACTTGCGCGTCCAGGCTGCGCTTCCTTCCCAGGACGTGGCTGAGGCCTGTCCCCAGGGCTGTTCTTCCTGCTGCTGATTCTGCTCCCCCACGGGACTCCAGGGTGCAGCGGGGAACGGGGTTGGCTGAGCCAGGAGGGGTTCACCGTGTGGGAAGGAGAGGGCAGCCAGCGGTAAGCCCCCGGCATAGCCCTGGGAAGGTTTCCGGGCTCCGGCGCCAGTGTTGGGGCCCTGTGCTTGCGTGTCCGGGTGGGAAGACCACGCAGACACAGCCCCTCTTTCCTGCTGGGGCTGTGAGGCGGCAGGGGAGGGCTGAGGCACAGCCGTCCTGCTGTCCTGCAGCAGGGCTGTGGCGGCAGGGCAGGAGCCAGTGTGTTCTGAGGGTCCTGGAGACACCCAGCCAGGTGCCGGGCAGGTTGGGAAGAAGGGAGGCGACCTGTGGGCGGGGCCAGAGGGAGGAGCCGGCTGACCCTGGTTCTGGGTGGCAGCAGAGGTGTCGCAGGCGGCTCCCCCACCTGCCCAAGGGTGCTGCAGCTTGGAGAAAGTGTGCGTGCTGAACAGGTGAGCAGCTGTCTTGGTTCCATCGGCTGAGAAAGGAGAGAGACTTCAGGGCAAACGAAAATCCAGGGAAGGCATCGGCCCCGAGAAGAGAGGAGAAAGTGGGGTCCCCGGCTCTGGGAGCAGAGAACCCGGCCGGCGCAGCCGGGTCGCCGTCCGGGGCGTGGCGGGGGTCCGGGCCCCGCTGCGTGTCTGGGGATGAGCTTCTTCGTCGCTGACTGCCTTGGGTCGAGTTCTGACTTCAGTGAGCGCTTCCACAGCCCGGTGTCGTGGGGCGCGCGGGTCACGGCGCCGCCCCGGAAGGGGACAAGGGGACCCTGAGCACCCGTTCACTTCACTGCGTGTGGTGCCAGCACTGACTGACAGCTGAGCTCGTGAGACGGGTTTTGCTGTTGACACTAAACATCCTAGACGAGGCCCCATTGGATCCGCATGTCCTGTCGCTAAGCATAAAGGGGACCTCATAGGGAACGTCTGTGCTGGAAGGTGACGGGTGGGGGGTCACTCAGCGCACCATGGAGCTGCCGCCTCAGGTCTGCGAGCTTCTCAACTCTGGTGCCTCGTGGTAAGGCAGCCACCACCAGCTGTGCCGGTTGGACAGGGCCCAGGTGCCGGGCACCCTGGCTCTGGGGAGGGTGTGGGGGAAGGAGAGGGTCCAGCCCGTGCCCGTGCCTCTCCCGGCCCATGCCTGTGTCCATCCTGGGTCGTACCGAGCTTTCCATGGGAGAAGCAAGACAGTCCCAGGGCAGGGACCAGACGCCGGCACGAGGACACGCGTCCCCCCGGCTCCTGGATGGCCAGGCACTTGGGGACTGCGAGGTCACACAAGCGGCTCCTGTGTTCCCAGCGAGTCTGTGAGGGCTGAGTTTTGTTGCTGGGTTTTGCTTTTCTCTGACTCCTGGCCGCTGTCTGCTGTGTGGCCATCGCGCGAGCGTGGAAGGACGAGCGAGATCGTCCCTCGCGACCGGAAGCCCGTGTCCAGGAGGGGCGCAGCGCCTGTCCTGGGCCCCGGGGCCCCCCCACGCGGCTTCTGCCAGGAAGGGCAGCTTAGGAAGAGAGCCCTCCGCCTGCATGCCGCCCGTGGCTCAGTGCCGCGTCTCTTCTGCAGGGTCCTCCCCGCCATCAGCGCAGAACGCCAGGCTGCCCCTCGAGTGCCTGGCCGCTCAGAGCCGGCTCCGGCCGCCGGGGCTCTGTCGGCAGCTCTGCACCGCCCCCTAGTGTTGCCGGTGCGCAGCGGCCTCTCGCCTCGCAGGTGGCATTTTCTCCCCACCCCACCCCCTCCCCACGGAACTTGGCAGGCCCAGCTCTTCCCGAGCGAGCGGGGAGGCTGCGACAGGCCGTGGGCAGGGCCACGTGTGTGGCTCCTCTGAGGGCCCCGGAGAAGCAGGTGACGGTGCCTCGTGCGGAGCACAGGCCAGGACACGGCGCGGTGGCCTCTGGCCAGCTGGCTTCCTTCTCCGCTCCTCCCACCTCCCTCCTCAGGGCGGCAGGACGAGGGGCGCGCGAGGGTTTACAGGCAGGCCCTGTGTGGGACGTGCTGCTGCCACAGGCCCGGGGAGACCCCAGCAGGCCCCCTTGCTAACTCCCAGCACCCAGGCGTGGTCAAGCCGCTGCCGGGAGGTGGTGTCTGCCGGTTCCGTGTCGGCATAGCTGTGCGCATTCTTCAGAGAGGGGACCCGAGAATCGTGCGTCATAGGAACTCGGGGGGCATGGGCTGGAGGAGTGTGGTGCAGTGGCCGAGACGCCGCTCAGTGCTCCCACAGCACCGACTGTGGTGGTGGCACGAGGGAGAGTCCCTGCCACCCCGGGGAGACCTGGATGAAGTCCTGGCTCCCAGATTGGGCCCAGCCCGGCCCCTAAGCATTGCAGCCATCTGGGGAGTGACCGGGGCCTGGGAGCGTCTCCTCTTCCTCCTCTTCCCTCTCCCCCCATCCCCCTCCTTTGTCACTTAAGAGAAATCCGAATCTGGAGTTAGGACTTCGTGTCCGCATGGGCAGGTTTGGGGAGCGAGAGCCCAGGTAGGCAGGGCCGTTTGTCCAGCTTCCTAATACCGCACGAGGGAAAGTCGGTCTCGTAGTTCAGCTCTTAATTTAAACCAAAACAAGAGGAGAGCTTCTGGATTATTCTTAATCCTGCTGATGTCCAGAGGTCCGGCATTTTGATCACGATCATTTAGGTCTAGAGAAAGGACACCGGCGCCGCGGCTCACTAGGCTAATCCTCCACCTGCAGCACCGGCACCCCGGGTTCTAGTCCCAGTCAGGGCGCCGGGTTCTGTCCCGGTTGCCCCTCTTCCAGTCCAGCTCTCTGCTGTGGCCCGGGAGTGCAGTGGAGGATGGCCCAAGTGCTTGGGCCCTGCACCCCATGGGAGACCAGGAGAAGCACCTGGCTCCTGCCTTCGGATCAGCGCAGCACGCCAGCCACAGCGGCCATTGGGGGGTGAACCAACGGCAAAGGAAGACCTTTCTCTCTGTCTCTCTCTCTCACTGTCCACTCTGCCTGTCAAAAAAAAAAAAAGAAAAAAAAGAAAAGGACAAATAAACCATCTGCCCCGGGCCGGCGGGCACAGCTGGTGCAGCCGCCGCTCCCCAGAGCACTGGCTCAAGTCCCTGTGTCTGTGCCTGCTGAGGCACTGGGAGGAGCAGTGATGGCCCAAGCACCTGGGTGTCCGCCACCCACAGGGGCACCTGGACGGAGCTCCTGGCTCCTGGCCATGAGCATCTGGGGAATGGCTGTCGGATGGAAGATCCTCTGTCTCTCCCTACCTCTCTGTCACTCTGCCTTGCGAATAAGCAAGTGTTTTGTTTTTTTTAAAAAAAATCACCTTCCCTACGTGTAAGACAATTTTTAATGGTAGTTTTTTATTTTATTTATTTGAAAGTCAGAGTTACAGAGAGAGAGAGAGAGAGAGAGAGGTCTTCCATCCGCTGGTTCACTCCCCAAGTGGCCACAACGGCCAGAGCTGGGCCGATCCGAAGCCAGGAGCCAGGAGCTTCTCCTGGATCTCCCATGTGAGTGCAGGGCCCAAGGACTTGGGTCATCCTCCAGTGCTTTCCCAGGCCATAGCAGAGGGCTGGATCAGAGAGGAGCAGCCAGGACTTGAACCGGCGCCCAGAGGGGACGCTGGCACTGCAGGCTGGGGCTTCACCCGCTGCACCACAGCGCCGGCCCCCGTGGTGTTTGCTTCCCTCATCAGCAGCATCTTTTCCGAGGTGAGCATCTGTCCAGTACAAGGTCACGGTCACCTCCAGGGGCCAGGCGTGGAGAACCTCACGTGGCACCGTGGGCCGTAGGGACGCGTGGATGGTGCGGCTCTGCTGCCCAGCCTCCTGCCCCTGTGCCGAGCGCTGAGGTCTCCTCTCCTTGCTGCGGGGGAGGCGGGGCTGCCGGGCTCACCAGCTCCGCTTCTCCTCCCAGTGTGCCAGAACCCCGCGCCATCCCGCGGCAGTGCGCAGCACACAGAGCCTGGCTGGCCGCGTCCCAGGGGACGTGGGGGCCGGGGGGCGTCTGGCCTGGGTGGACGTGTGGCCTTGTGAGCTGTGTCCAGTGAGACAGGGAGTCGGCCTTGATGTTGGGCTTTGAAAATGCTGCCTCCTTGCTGTCAGATTGTGTCTGGTACGTTTAGCCAACTGGTGGAGTATCAGGAGGCGCAGCGGTCGGGCTGCCACAGTGGTGTCTGACGGCACGCGTGCCGCAGGCCCTGTCCCCGCTGCGCCCCCCGCACTCGGCCCGCGCAGCTCTCCCGTGTCTAAGGATGCGTGCCCCATTTCCCGGCCTCTCCAGGTAAACTGTCGGACATCAAATCGACGTGGTCCTCCGGCCCGGCCTCCCACGCGCAAGCCTCCCTGTCCCACGAGCTGTGGAAGGTGCCCAGGAACACCGCGGCACCCACGAGGCCGCCTCCTGGCTTAGCCAATCCCAAGCCTTCCTCCACCTGGGGCGCCAGCCCCCTGGGCTGGACGAGCTCCTACTCGGGTAAGCTGCGCCAGAGTCGGCTCCGCACCCTGCTGACCCCGCGGAAGGCTTGGCGCTTGGTCCTCTGGAGCCTGGCAGGGCTGCGTAGGGAGCCAAGTCACCGGAGGCTTCCAGGGGGTTCTGCCTGGCCTTGGGTGCGCCGGGGCCAGGGGAGCCCAGCCCCACCCCCGGAGCTCACACTCAGCTCTTCTAGGAGTCTTCCCCCATCAGCCAGCATGAGGGCCTTGGGTCCTGCTGGTTCTGTTTGGGTGCTCAAGGCCAAGAGCCACCCAGACACCCCCACCCCCTCCCAGACCTGGAACCCACAGCCCTGCAGCCCTGCAGGCTTCCAGCAGGGCCACAGCCAAACTCAGGACGCGTGCACTGGGCGCCTGTGAGACCGAGTGCTGGGGGCATCTCCAGCCTCGGGTGGCCCTCATGGGCCAGCGCCTCGAGGCTGAAGGGGCCGGGAGGCAGAGGCAGAGCCTGGGACGCCCTCGCAACCCACACCGCAGCGCTGGGCCCCGCAGCGTGGCCACCGAGGCCGCGTCAGCTGAGCCTCTCCCGCTCCTTGCACAGGTTCCGCGTGGAGCACCGATGCCTCCGGAAGAGCAAGCAGCTGGCTCGTCCTGCGCAACCTCACACCCCAGGTAGGGCCCAGCGCCAGGAGCGCGGCCCGGGGCCGGAGCAGGCCCTTGCTGCTTCCCCCCGAGAACGGCTGCACCAACTCGGGCTGCCTGGCCGCCGTTGGCCTCCCCGGGCCCTGGAGCCCTGGCACCCCAGGGCCTTGTGCACCGGTGAGAGAGGGCAGAGCCCGTGCGGGCTTCTCCTGCTTCCCGCTTGGCGTTGCTGCCTGAAACAGCCCTGGAAAGCTGCTCCCGGATTTCAGCTGCAGACTTGGCCAGAGGCATCAGTCAGCACCGCGAAGGCTGGCGCTCAGCCCTCTGGGGGAAGGGCGTGGCCCACGTGGCGTCGCAGCCGCGCTGACGCCCGCTGCCTCCCTCCCCCAGATCGACGGCTCCACTCTGCGGACGCTGTGCCTGCAGCACGGGCCTCTCGTCACCTTCCACTTGAACCTGACCCAGGGCAACGCTGTGGTCCGCTACAGCTCCAAGGAGGAAGCCGCCAAGGCCCAGAAGTCTCTGCACATGTACGTTCCCCTCCGCGCCGCAGGGCCGGGGTCCTCGCATGGCCGCCCTCAGCTCTGCCGCCGCTTCAGAGACCCCGGCTCGGGTCCTGGGCTAGGGCTTCAACGTGGGAGTCTGGGGGCAGCCAGGCTGTGCCCTCCCCCAGCGGCCCTTGGAGCCAGCCTCTGGCCAGCCCCCGAGCCCTGACATCCATCAGGGGTGGCACCTAGGAATCAGTCACTCCTGTTTGCAGAATGTGTACGGATGCTGGACGGTCCCCAGGTGTAGCGGTGCATCCGTGCCCTGGACGATGGCCCCTGGGGGTTGGGACGCCCACATCCGGATCACAGGGCCGGGTTCGAGTCCCAGTTCTGCGTCAAGTAGCAGCTCCCTGCTCCCGTGCACCCCGGGAGGCAGCAGAGGGCGGCTCAGTACTCGGGCCCCTGCCGCCCACCTGCCAGGCCCAGGTTGACGTCCAGGCGTCTGGCCCCGGCCATCCCTTGCTGTTGTGGCCACCTGGAGGGTGGGCCAGTGAGAGATCTCTGTCCCTCTTCCCCTCCCTCTCCCCCTCTCCCTCTCCCCCCTCCCTCCCCCTCTCTCCCCCCTTCATTTCCCCCCTCATCTCCACCCTCCCCCTCTCTCCCCCCTCCATCTCCACCCTCCCCCTCTCTCCCCCCTCTCCATCTCCACCCTCCCCCTCTCTCCCCCCTCCATCTCCACCCTCCCCCTCTCTCCCCCTCTCCATCTCCACCCTCCCCCTCTCTCCCCCCTCCATCTCCACCCTCCCCCTCTCTCCCCCCTCCATCTCCACCCTCCCCCTCTCTCCCCCTCTCCATCTCCACCCTCCCCCTCTCTCCCCCCTCCATCTCTACCCTCCCCCCTCTCCCCCCCTCCATCTCCACCCTCCCCCTCTCTCCCCCTCTCCATCTCCACCCTCCCCATCCCCCCTCCTCCCTCTCTCTCCCCCCTCCTTGTACCCTCCTTCCCCCTGTTCCCCTCCCCCCTCTTCCCCTCTCCCCCCCCCCCATGTACTCTGCACCAATGCAGTGTAGGTGCTAGGAATCCAGAGTGTGAGTCCTGGGTTTGCAAACAGCGAGGGCCTCACTGCCACCCCCCGCCCGGGCCAGGGCTGAGAGATCAGAGATCGCGGGCCGTGGCCGACTCCTCGTCTCACTGTCCTAGGTGTGTGCTGGGAAACACGACCATCTTGGCGGAGTTCGCGGGCGAAGACGAAGTGAACCGGTTCCTAGCCCAGGGCCAGGCTCTGCCGCCCACCTCCGGCTGGCAACCCAGCGGCGGGGGAGGCCAGGCGCGCCTGGGCACCGCCCCCTGGAGCGCCCCGTGCCTGGGCGCCAAGGGGAGCAGCGAGCTGCTCTGGGGCGGCCTGTGGGGCCCGCCCAGCGCCGACGATGCCAGGGTGGTCGGCAGCCCCACCCCGCTGAACACGCTGCTGCCCGGGGACCTGCTCAGCGGGGAGTCGATGTAGGCGCCGCGGCCGGCGGCCCTCTGAGTACCTCTGTCCAGTACTGAGACGACCCTGCGCGCAGCCCTCGGACTGTCCCCGGGCCGCCGCGGGCTGCACCTGCTCCCGACAGGACGCTCCTCATAGCTTTGGTTTGGTGTCGTCTTGCGTTTGTATGGTGTGTTGTCATTTGGTTTTTAAGTATAAAGCTGCTTAGAATAGTTGTATCATGAAGGGCACTTTCCAGACCGCGGGCCGGGGGCCGGGCCGGGGCGGGGGCCGCGCACCCGGAGGAGCCTGCGGGCTCCGGCACCTGGCGGCGCCGCCCGCCCCGCCCGCCCCGCCCGCCTATGCACATTACCCTCCTCTCATTACTTTTTCATGGCATTTTTTTTTAATCCCAAAAAAATATTTTTTAAAAGTTAAAAAAAAAGACATATCAAACATGCAAATACTTGAATCCAGCAGGCCAATAAGGAAATGTGAACTTTGTAAGTCTGGTCCTAGCTCCCAGGTCGACATCAGTACAAACAGGCTCTAGGAAAACTCCTGCGTTCATAGCCTCCGTGTGCGTGCGAGGCCGCGTGTGCGTGCGAGTGCGTGTGTGTGTGTGTGCGCGTGTGCGAGGGTGGACCGCCTCCCCGTGTTCAGTATCTGCTTTGTGTCGGCATCGGTCGATCGGCTCTGGCTTTGCACTGAGTGTCCCCGCCCGCGCAGCGGTCCGGACAGGGCCGGCGACCAGTCACGTGTACATGTTTACTCAAGGACTGTGTTCGCGGTGCGCCCGGCGCGTCCCGCCTGGAGCAGCCTCCGTGCGTGCGTGCGTGCGTGCGTGCGGACTGATGCGGGAGTGGCCGCCGGCACCGCACCGACTCCTCTGAGTGACGTCGGAGACCCGGCGCTGGCGGTAGCCCCCGGGCCCCGCCTGTTTACAGACCTTTTTTTTCCTCCTCAGACTTTAAAATTTAAAAATTTTTAAAAGGAATTTAACAAAAAAAAAAAAAAAAAAAGAAAGAAAGAAAAGAAAAAGAAAAAAAAAAGACTTCGGTCACAAAGACCCGTTCCGGGAGCGCGGCGCCGGACTCCGGGTGGACAGCGCTGTCCCCGCGCCGTGGACTCCGGGCGCCGCCCCGCGCGGCCTTGCACACGGCGCAGGTGCTCTCAGGAAAGCCAGGGCTCCGGGCAGCCGCGCCGCCTCACGGATTTCTACACCGACTCCTAGCACTGAAGATATTATTTAAAAAAACAAAAAAGAAAAAAAAAACACACAAAGAAGAAAAATACCTAATCTCTAATGTGTAGCAGTTACATATTTACCAAATAATGGACTCGAGAGAAATAGATGTTTGAAGAGTGCTTTATATTAAAATCGCTTTATGTTTTACATGACCAATGTCCTGATTGTTTTGCAAGGACCGAGGAGTGACACGAACGCTGGGCCCTCCTGCTTGAGCGGGGAACTCGTGCGTTACGTTTTTCCTAATTAGCTTTTTAATGGTTTTATCAAAACAAAACAAAAAGGAAAAAAAAAAAAAACCAACTGCAAGGTTGCAGATCCACAAAAGCTGGTGTCACAGAGGATCCCGAACTACGCACAAGCCGGGCTCAGGACGCCGCGGAGCCGCCGCCGCGCCGTGCGCGTGACGCGCGTGCCCCTGCCCGTGGGTCAGGAGCGCGTGCGCACCGTGTGTGATGCGCGTACACCCGCACACGTGGGGCAGGTAGGCGCGCGCCGTGCGCGCGATGCACGCACTCCGCCTATGTGGGTCAGGTCCGCGCGCGCACTGTGTGTGACGCGCGCACTCCCGCATGTGTGGGTCCTGCGCGCGCGCCCAGACGCACGGCTCGCGCTGCCACTCGGCTCCGAGCTATGGAAAACTCTGGATGTTTTGTTCCCGGGGCTGGTCGTGAGGACTGTGCGTCTCTCGGTTTTGTTTTTTTGTGTTTGTTTTGGGACCTTTTGTTTTGAACTGAAGATGTCGGTAACTCCGTGGCCCCGAATGTCCCCGTCACAGAGCGCGCGAAGGCCCCCGGCCGCAGCGGGCGCGCGGCCGGGTCTTAATAAATTGGTTTTTTCTTGGCTGTTCACGGATGTGCGTCCCTCTGCTGCGTCCCGGCGCCGGGAGGTACGTCGATTGCGATGCACGCGGGGAGCCCCGCACCGACTCACGCCCAGCTGCGTCTCCGCCGGCTGTGTGGTCCTCGCCCAGCAAAACCGAATTTCAGCCGTTCGGACTCCAGGCCAGGCCGGCGCGTGCCCGGGCTTCGGCGGCGGCTCCCGCAGCTTCCGCCGGCCTGGAGCCTGCTGGCCTGTGTGTGCGCGGCCCCGCACCGGCACCGCCACCGCGTAGACCCAGATGGAAGACCCCCTGCGGGGGCCGGCCACCGCACCCCGCAGCACCGCCTCGGCCCTGGCCCACATTAGAATTCCCTGAAGATGCTGAAAATCCCCACGCAGAGCCACCCAAACCAGATCCACCGACCCCGGGGTGCGCCGCCGCGTTCCTTGCCTAAGAAACAGAAATTGACGCAGGGGCAGAGGCCGTCCATCCGCTGGCGCCCCGCCCAGCCGCTCACTACAGCCAGGGCCGGGCCAGCAGCTTCATCCGGGTCTCCCACGTGGCGGCAGAGGCCCGAGTACATGGACGGCCACCTCCTGCCTCCCGGCTGCTCAAACCCACACTCCGATGCGGGGTGTGGCCTGTGGCACCGCAGTGCCCGCCCCGTGGCTCTCACCCTCTGCGCCAGGTGGGGCAGCGGGCACGGTGGCGTCCTGTCCACCGCCAGCCTCCCGTCCATTAGGGCTGCCCGTCACGCCTGGCAGTGCGCGCTACAACCTCAGGCGTGCCGGGCCAGGCGCTCCCGGGGGCCCCGTCCCGCGCAGCAGCCAGGAGGGGCTGCCGGACTGCCCGGTCCTCTCAGCACCACGGGCCGTCGTGCAGGGCCACGCGGCGCACCCAGCACCAGCTGCTGGGCGCCTGCCGAGGCTGGCCGCCCGGGACACGGCAGCAGTGGAGAACCTCCCCTCCTGGAAACCTGAGGTTTGCTCTGAAGACCTTCACCGGACTGGGCGAGGCCCACGCACACCGCCACGCGCTAGCTCCAGGGAGCGTCGCGGCTGGGTGCTGGCCACGCCCACGGAGGTTGCGGGGACCCAGCTGGCCCGGTTGACAGCCCAGTGGCACACACGGTAACTGCTGACTTCCCTGCAGCGTGAGATCCTACTGTGCACCCCACGAGTGGCTGAGGCCGCTGGGGTGACCCTGTGGGCCTGGCCCCCTGAGCAGCCCACCCGCGGCGCTCAGCCTAGACGTGCAGCCACAGTTAGCACCGAGGATGGGCGCCGGCTCTCACCAGCTCCCGGAGCGGTGCTGGCTTGGGTGGGCCAGAGAAAGGCTGGGGAGCGCCACCTGATGGGCACTGTGGGGCCAAGCAGAGGGCAGGCTGGCCCCAGGGAGGGACAGGAGCGAGTGTGGCCCAGCTGGTCCACACCCTCCACACTCCAACCCACTCAGGGTCCCATTCGTTTGTGTGATGGCGCCCATCCCCTCCCCATCTCCCCACAACCCACCAGCTCCTCCACCTGTCACTCAAGTGGCACCCCTGGCTGGCCCCGCTGGGCACCCCGCTCTCTGCTCGCCAGCCTGTGCCCAAGCCAGCCCCCTCCAGGCTGGTCGAGGGCCAGCGTGGGCCTTCTGAGGCTCTGCCAACAGAAGGCGCCCCTGCCGTGCGCCGGAGCCCTCCTGCCTGCCGGCTGTGGTTCCCACGGCTTCAGCCTGGGAGGAGAGATGTGGGCAGGCCAAGTCAGAAGCACAAACTCCCAAGAGCCAAGGTCACTGCGAAACCCATTTAAGGAGAATAAATAGAGGCCCAGGGGCAGAGTCCAGCCCGGCGCAGCTTGCAGGAGACGCCACTGTGCCACGCCGGCGGTCTGGGCAGAGGGCAGCTGGGGGTGAAGCAGCCTGGGAGGCCCTAGCTGTCCCACCAGGCAGTGTCCCGTCCATCTGTGAGCAGGGCCGGGGGTGTCGCAGGCTCCTCAGCTCCAGCAGCCCTGCCAGACAGGGAAGCCAGCGTTGGCTCGGCACCCTGGAGTGCGCCAGAAGTGCCCCCCAAGACCGCCAGGCCCCACCCAGCCGCACCTGCTCGCAGGCTGCGAGTGGGGGGCCTGCCTCACGCACCCTCACCCCGTTGTAGCAACGGCAGCCGCGAGAGCAGTGCCGCGTGCGGGTGTCCCACCCAGGGACACGGGCTGACCCTGATCCGCAGAGGCCAGCTCGCACAAACACCTGCTCCGGCACACTGGGCGTCAGCCTTGTCTCACTGGCAGGAGCCCGCCAGCAGGAGGAGCCAGGCCCCTGCCCCGCCCCTGTCAGGGGGTCTCAGCCTCGGGGACCCCAAGGGATGGGCCCCATTCCAGGGAGGCTGTGTCTCCATCTGTCATCTCAGGAGCCCCAGGGCTACTGGGTCTCGCCTAAAGGAACTAGGGCGCCAGCCCCCCGGGGAGAAGGCCCCACCAGGACTTGGCACGGCACAGGCGGCGAGGGCAAGCAGCACTCGGACATTCACGCCGCCCTCGGCCCCCGGGCGCCCACGCACCCGCATGGCACCTACGCCCCTCCTGGCCGGGCCTCACCTGCGCTCCCGGCTCTCGTAGACGGAGTGGAGTCTGTTGATCAAGAAGACTTTGTCTTCCCCCTCCTGCAAGGGCGAGAGAGAAGACTCCGTACCCATGGCATCCACAGCCCCACGCAGGCTCCCCCAGGGCGCCCTCCGCCCGAGAGGAAGCCAGACAGAGCCAGGAAGCAGGCGTGAGTGGACCGCCAAGCTGCAGAGGGAACCATGCTGAGCCGCACGGAGGGCCCGGAACCAGCCCAACCACGTGCCACCCACACGGAGTGCCCGAAACCAGCCACCGACCCCATCCTGCTCCGCACAGCCGGCCCGGCCCTGCCTCCACCTCAACCCCGCACGTCACAGGCCCCACTGGGGACGTGAGCACCCTTGGGGCCACTGCCTGGCTGACCCAGCACACACCAGCATGGAGAGGATGTGGGAGCCCACGGCCAGAACAGGACAGCAGCGGCAGGAGCCAGGCTCAGCCCAGGAGTCCCATGGGAACAGGGCAGGGCCAGTGCTGTGGTGCTGGGGGTTGGGCCGCCACCTGCAACCCAGTGCCCCACAGCAAAGCCCTCGTTCAAGTCCCGGCTGCTCACTTCTGCTCCAGTGCCCTGCTCATGGCCTGGGAAAGCAGCAGAGGACGGCCCAAGTGCTTGGGCCCCTGCCCCCACGTGGGAGACCCAGGTGAAGCTCCTGGCTTCAGCCTGGTCCAGCCCTGACCATGTTGACCATTTGAGGAATAAAACAGCGAATGGTCTCGCTTTCCCTCTAATTCTGCCTTTCAAATAAATAATCTTTAAAACAAGACCACAGGGGAGGCCGGCGCCGCGGCTCACTAGGCTAATCCTCCACCTACAGCGCCGGCACCCCGGGTTCTAGTCCTGGTTGGGGCGCCAGATTCTTTCCAGGTTGCCCCTCTTCCAGTCCAGCTCTCTGCTGTGGCCCGGGAGGGCAGTGGAGGATGGCCCAAGTGCTTGGGCCCTGCACCCATGGGAGACCAGGAGGAAACTCCCGGCTCCCGGCTCCGGGTCAGCGCAGCTCAGGCTGTTGTGGCCATCCAGGGAGTGAACCAGCGCGTGGAAGACCTCCCCCTCCCTCTCCCCTCCCCCCCTCTCTCCGCCTTTCTAAAATGCTTTCAAATAAATGAATCTTAAAAAAAGAAAGAAAAAGAAGACCACACACAGGGTGGGAAGGACCGTCTGGAGAGGCAGCACCTGGCGTGATGGGGGGCAGCCACCCTCAGACCCCCAGCAGCAGGGGTGTGGCTCTGAGCGGACGCTGGGCAGCCGGGCTCCGGCCGGAGGTTGGCCCTTCGGAACCCAGAAGTGGAAGGCAGGGCTGGGGCTCTCCTCCCTGCCAGCCCCACCTGGCACCCAAGGGCTCTGGCAGCCGCACGGTGGTGAGGGGGGACCCACAGGGCTGCCCCCCCAGCCCCTGAGAGCGCCTCCTGCTGAGCGCAAGCTGCGGAGCCCTCGCCCCCGGCCCCTGCCAGCCGCAGCAGGGTCAAGGTCCTCGCCGGGACCCGCCGGGACCGCTGGGACAGCCGACTGCGAAGATGGGGCGGGGCGGGGCGGGGGGGGGCGTGCAGGCGGACGGGGGCCTGCCCTGTGCCGGCCGCTCCCACGCGTGGAAAGAGCCAGGGGCCTGCCCCGTGCCAGCCGCTCCCACGCGTGGAAAGAGCCAGGGGCCTGCCCCGTGCCAGCCGCTCCCACGCGTGGAAAGAGCCAGGGGCCTGCCCCATACCGGCCGCTCCCACGCGTGGAAAGAGCCAGGGTTCCCGAGGGCCAGGGAGGTCGCTGCTCCCCTCCTGCCACCCACTCTGGCGACAAAGCACAGGTGCCCCGTGAAAAGGCCTCCTGTCCTCACCGTCTCTCGGCCCCGCCCGCCCCCCACGAGCGTCCCTGTGGCAGAGGAGTGGTCAGCGCCCCGCCCTGCCCGCAAGTGTCACCGTGGCAGGGAGTGGTCAGCAGCCTGGCCCCGCCCCCCCAAGCGTCCCCGGGGCAGGGGAGTAGTCAGCGGCCCCGCCCCCAAGCATCCCCGTGGCAGGGAGTGGTCAGCGGCCCCGCCCCCCAAGCGTCCCAGGGGCAGGGGAGTGGTCAGCGGCCGGGCCCCGCCCCCGAGCGTCCCTGTGGCAGGGCGTGGTCAGCGGCCCCGCCCCCGAGCGTCCCTGTGGCAGGGAGTGGTCAGCGGCCCCGCCCCCGAGCGTCCCGGGGCAGGGCGTGGTCAGCGGCCCCGCCCCCCAAGCGGCCCCGTGGCAGGGAGTGGTCAGCGGCCCCATCCCCGAGCGTCCCGGGGCAGGGAGTGGTCAGCGGCCCGGCCCCATCCCCGAGCGTCCGGGGCAGGGAGTGGTCAGCGGCCCCGCCCGCCCACTCACATTGCGGATCTGCTCCTTGAGCAGGCAGATGACCTCTCGCTGGCCCTTCACCACCTGGATGTTGAGGTAGATGACAGCCCTGCGGAGACGGGAGACG